TAAATTATCATAAAGCGATTCTATTTCAGGCCCGAACACTGTTAAAAAACAATGGAATTAATCAAAGTACGTCGAATGCATAAACATTTCTATATGTGTAACTTCTCGCATAACATTGATATGGCCATGTTTGATTGTTAAGTGCCCTTGTGATCCATCCATTTCATCTACTAGTTCCTCACAATCATCAAGATCGCATGTACTTTCCGACATAGAGACTTCGGGCACTTCGTTTTGTGTGGCCAGTTGGAAGTAGTCTTCTATATGTCTTTGTGTAGATGCATGAGACCGAAAATGTAGTTATGTAAGCACAACACTAGAATGTAATATCATGAAAAATGCTCTGCTCAGCCTCTCTCAACGCACTTATATATATGGTGTTAGCATGCTAAGGAAGTAGAATAAAAACCATAGCGACCACAATTAGACATGTTACTTCCTCTGCCATGGCCATGATTTTGGTGTGCTGGCTGGTTCACAGAGGAGAGGCCAGAAGGTGGTGTAGCTGTTCTGTTCTATCCTGGATCTGAGATTGGAGCAAAACTGCCTCGAGTGTTATACCTGGTTCGCTTTCTTGATGTAAACTCATAATCAAAAGAGTCTGATGGGCTTGAGTTTAGCCAGGAATCAGGCATGCTGTGATTGAAATGAGGTGGGAGCATGAGAAACTCCATCTTCTTTGAGTGTGCTAGTGGCAGTGAGCGAGAGAGGCCTCATGGCTAATTTTTCTACAACTTCCATCATCATCTCCTTGTAGAAGATAAGGTGATAACATATGGCATGAGTGTAGCCATAATAGAAGTTCCCTCAAAAGAAGTTTGTTTGGCTTTCCGGTTCCAAAAACACTGTCCCAAGTGCTCCTATGTAATAAACAGCCACATCAAACCAAAGTTCGTTCATGTGCTGGTGGGCCTAAACACCAGCTTGTCCAAACCATCCAGTAATGCTAATATAGACTGGTGTTTATTTGCACTGTGATGATCCAAACATACTGAGATTTATGTGTGGCTTTGACAACGCACTTGTTCTCTAACTCATGTTGGAATCAGCATCGCCAGGTGCAACTTTGTTAGCTCCTCAAGCGAAACTCTATTCAGCTTGTGAGCTTGCAAATTAAAAAAAACCTCAAGAGTGTGAAAAGCTAGCGGATACTTGTGCTCTTGCATTCAAGTACCAATAGTCAACCTGTCTCCTTATTATGTTCCATGTTGCGTTAAGAATTTACCTTTCTGGCTCCTGGTCAGCATCCTGCAAGCAGCTAAATTCTTGATTAATGAAAATCTGAAAATAAAGAAGAAAACTTACGGATTGCCCAAATGGTCGAGGATCCAAGTATGCATGGCATCTGCTGCAGCTTTCGAGAGACACCCTCTTGTTCCAGATAGCTCCCCATTGCATAGAGTGTGCTTTGGGGTCGTGTTTCTCTTCTTATGCCCCATCCTGTGCTTGTAGGCATCTGGAAGATCAATGTGGCTTATCAAGACACAATCATGTTCTTGTTCAGGACCTCGTAGCTCAATGCAAAAACTTCCCTTTTGAAAGAGGCCAAAAATGAGAATCTACTGGGTGAAAACATCCTGCCTCAACCGGCACAAAAAACCATCAAATCTATACTTGAGGTAATCCAAACCCGACTGAATCAAGCCAGAAAAATTTGAAGGTGACCACTTACAGTCCTCAAGGACTATGACGCTTGGCTCCCCCACAACAGCTCGTAGCTTTTCATCTAGAATACGAATCAACTCCATAGATAAAACATAGTAAACATGAAGAAGATCTTACATCAACCTTCTTACCAGTGTCTCTTTTGCATGGTTGGAGCTTTCATTGTGCTTTTTCCAGTTCTTCAAGAATCAGTTCCAAGGAAACAGACCTCTCCCTTTTCAGGAGCTCCAGATCCTTGGCATTTGCAAGGGGACTTCCTACAGTGGCGTAACTCAATCGAGATTGCGGAGACACGAGGAGAAACATCTGGCAAATCTTTTCATCTTCATTATGAGGGGGAGGTTTGGAAAACTTGGCGAGGAGATCCATGACCTCATATGTGGAAAGAAACCCAATTATGTAGTGCAGTCTGGAGATGAAAAGAATTTTTTTTCTTTCTTGCTCACCTGGAAGAAGATCGATCTGAAAGAGCTGCATTGAGTCGAGACCTACACCTAGGAAAGAAAATGAAGCAATGAGAACAAACCAGGGAAATGACCTCGGCCAGTGCCCACTTCCACCTTACTTTTTACATAAATTTTTGGTCATATCGACATCTATATAGATTTCTAATCACTCATCCAAAAGGTTCACTTGTCCTCTGAATCCATGCATGTGTTAGAATCAGCTTCGCGACGTGCAAGTTTGTTGAGCTCGAGAGCCTGTAAATGAAAAAAAATTACCCTCAGATTCCAGCTTGAAACTATAGCAAGGTGTTCGTAAACCAATCGTCAACCCAGTCTCCCTGTTATAATATATTCCATTGCCTCTGAGAATTCTTCTTCCTGACACTTGCTTCAAGTTAAAGTCCTCGTAGCTCAATATGAAAACTTGCCTTTGAAAGAGGCCAAGAATGAAAATTTGCTGCTTGGTGAAAACCCCCAGCATCAACTGGCACAAAAACCATCAGAGCTACACTCAGGGGAAATCTAAACCTGACTGAAAGAATGCCGGAGAGGAGTAAGCTGGACTCTAGTGAGGTCTCTCCCGGTGGATGAATATAGATCTTCCAGAGTGCACACATACCTCTGCATTAACGAGCTTAAATCTTCTCTAAGCCAGTAAATTTGGAGTTGAGTCCTCAAAGATGATAATATCTGGATCATGGGAACTTTGTCATTGTTCTTGCCTTGGTTGGAGCAGCATCATGATTGTAGCGACGATCTCTAGAGCAACACTTGGCAGCCCCATAACATCTCACAGCTCCTCATTTAGAAGAGAAATCAACTCCATCATATGCATCTTATGAGTCCAATAATAATGAGGACAAGAAGAATGTGGATATATTGCGGTGTTGTACCATAATATGATTGCGTACCATTTCATCCAAGAGTTCAAAGGAAGAAATGCATCAGCAGCAATCCCAGAGCACTTGAGTCCAAAAAGGATGCTCTTATCAACTACCCAACCCACCCTTGAGATTGACTCACTGTTTGATGGTATTTGGCTTCAATACCACCTTCTGCACATGGAGCCCATGGAAAAGTGGCTGGGATCCATAATATGGTTTTTATTGGCTGTTTGGTTATCCAAAAATCCAGGAGTTGCTCCAAAACTTCTTCAATGGTAAAAGAGCTTGCACCACTAGCACAAGAGCAGTGTGTTATATTAGTCATTGGCCTACTAACATTCTGAATAAGAACCCTAAACTTCCAAATATTTGCTTTTAACCTTTTACCACCTTTATTGGATTCAGAATAACATAAATGTCTCCGTGTTTTCATTGCATGCTTGATCATCTTGTGCTCAAGATGGATTACAAAGCGGACGTGTAAATCGATTCGTTCGCCGGTAAATAGCAATCTGGCCTCACATTTTATTTTATTTTGTGAACCTGCTGCAAAGAAAACAAGATTTCTAATAACTCATTCTAAAGAACTGTGTTAGATTCAGCCTCGCCAAGTGCAAGTCTATATAGCTCGTGGGCCTACAAGATGAGGAAGAAGAAAAAAACTCAGATTCCAGCTTCAAAAGCTCGAATCACATATACCAATGGCACTCTCGCGTTGGCAAACCAATTGTCAACCTGACTCATTGTTATATTCCATTGCCTCGAGAATTCTTGTCTCTGGCTCTTGCTCGGTCTCCTGCAAGTTAAATTCCTGATTGATTCTAGAAGAGAAACAAAAAAAAACTTACGGATTGTCAAAATGGTCGTAGATCCAAGTACGCATGGCGTCTGCTGCAGCTTTCGGGATTCCAGACAGCTCCCCATTGCGAAGATTGTGCTTTGATGTGTTTCTCTTACACCCCATCCCATCTGGGCTGTTATCTGAACTGGAAGCCATGCGTGTTTACTTCACGACCTCGTAGCTCAATGTAAGAACTTCCCTTCGAAACAGGCCAAGAACGAGAATCTGCTGCCTGGAGAAAACGCCCTGCATCAACTGGGAGAAAACCATCAGCTACACTCGAGGAAATCCAAACCTGATTGAAGGAATCCGTGAGAAGAGTAAGCGTCTGGAGGCTCTCCTGTGTTCTCTCCCGGAAGATGAACATCTCTTCCAGAGCGCACGCATACCTAGAAGCCAGTAAACTCGAAGGTGACCACTTACAGTTCTCAAGGACGATAACTTCTGGATCCCGGGAACTTTGTCTTCGTTCTTGCCTTCGAGCAGTATCCTGATCGTAGTGGCGATCTCTGGAGTGACGCTTGGCTCCTCTGCAACGGCTCGCAGTTCCTCATTCATTTACAAGACGTATCGACTCCTCCTTGTGCACCTAGAAAGAAAAAAAAAAAAAAAAAACACAGAGATACATAAGAAAAATCTTGGCTGCCATGAACACCGGTCTTCGGTCCCAGAAGCCTTTCCAAGGAAACAGACCAGAAACTCCATCAGTAGATCTTCCGAGCTTGCGGTGGCAGCTTGGACATGCGTCGCCCCCGAACTTGACCGAGACTGCGGTGGAGACGACATCAGGAAATCCTGAAACATCTTGCAAAGCTCTTCATCGATGAAGAGCTCTTCAGGACGGGCTCTCTGAGGGTGAGGTTCGGAAAACTCAAGACTCAGGGATGAGATCTGCGAGCTCATCTGTGGAAAACGAAGCCGAATCTGGAGAGATTAAAAGACGATTTTTCTTTCTTGCTCACCTGGGGGAATCGCAAGGACCTGTATTGCCATGAACGAGATGAGATTGTCAGCGAGGGAAAGAAAACGAAGCAACTAATATTAAAACCAGGGAGTGACCTCCGTGTTTATAAGGTGTGAGCTATACCCGTTGGCCTTCAAGATTTTTATTTTCTTAAGAGAATAAACCTGAGGATAAGCTTAAATAGCTAAGAGAGTTAAATATTCTTAGAATATGCTATTTAATATTCCAGGGAAGAGAATAAACCTCAGCATATTCTTACAAACTTCTATAAACCCTAAAAACTTAATATTCCTGGGATATGCTCTGAGATTCGCGCTCTTACTTCTTTCTACTCTTCTTCACGAAGAAATTGATCCCCTCGCAAACGTTTCCCAGCACATGATCCGAGACAGCCCACGGCGAGAGAATCATCTGCGAGAACTCATCCGGCGACGCCTCGTGCATCGTCCACTCCACATTCTTGGCCTGCTCGAACGTGGGAAACGCTCCATAGTTTCTCTGCTCGGCGACGCCGGATCGCTGGCCGGGAGTTACTCCACACCCCGGCGGACTGCTGCTTAGAACCAGCAGCCTCCCTGGCGGATACAGAACCACGGGCCCCTTCTTCTCGATGGAGCTCTCCCCCTCGCACTTTCCCTCCTCGCAAGAACTTCCCTGTTTTTGCTCGCTTGGTCCACCTCCGCTCAGCTCGCTGCACACCCTGCTCCCGAAATCGTCCACGTTGTCCTGGGCTCTCTGGAACATCTGCATTGCGTCCACCGCCCTGGAGATCTTCTCCCAGTCCTCGTCGTGCTTGGCGATCTCGTCGGCCCTCTTCCAGTCGAAGTTGCACACTCGCTTGCGGAGGTCCTCAATGGAAGCCACGGAGAATCGGGGGACGACGTCGTGCAAGCAGACGAAGGAGGTGGCGAAGCTGGCGCACTCCTTGGCCAGCTCCAAGCTGACGCTGGCCGGCACCGAGAAGCCCCAGCACTCGAGGTTGCGGTGCTCGTCTCGCAACTTCAGTCCACACATGATCCCCACTGCTGCTCCCATGCTGTGCCCGACTATAACCAGCTTCTCCAGGCAGCTGTCCTCCTGTAAAACTTGCCGGATGTGCGGCCTCACTTCTTCCAGGAGTGCGTCTGTCGCACGAGCAAATCCGCCGTGTGCATGCCCGGACTCGAACGGAGCTGGCATGGCTCCTGCACTGACAAGGATGTCAATCACATGAGAAGTCCCACGTACCGAGAGAACCAGTGCTCCATACGAGTGATCCACTGAGAGAGCAAACGCAGGCCGCATGGACTCCTGCTCGGGATTCCACACGGCTGTGACTATGGAAGACTCGGGCAGATGCGAGAAGAGCGAGAACGAGGCCGGGTCTGCGACGTAGACGGCTTCAGCCATTGCTCTCCAGTGTTGTGCTCTTACCATGAACTCGGGGTCGCTCGCTAAGTCACTTGGATGACCAGGAATTTCCATGGGATCGTTTTCGGTGATCTACAAGTTGTCACAAACCATAAGCTTCCTTCCAAGAATGTAAACAATACGAAAGAAAGAGAGCTTACCTTTGCCATGGCCGCAAGACCAAGTACAACATCCGCGGCCGACCAAGGTCCGATGTGATCCTGCACGCACAAAACACCTTTTGCAATGACTGTCATGGGTGACGATTCAGCCCCAGCTGCGTTCTTTGCAACCTGCTCCTTGAGCTTCCAAACTCCCACTCTTCCGGCAAAGTAAGCTCCACAGATCCCACATCCCACAAGAATCAGCTTCCACATCCCAGGAGCCTCTCCTGTTCTCTACACCTGCGTCTAGCTAAAGAAACCTGTGCTCGCTCCTCCACCACAACTAACCAGCGTAACCTTTCCACGTGTCGACTGGCATGAGATTCCAAGTGTCGCTTTCAAGCGAGCTGAGCTTAACTGATTAATAGATCCTGGGGAAAATTCTCCATGGCACCGCCTTGCAGTATTCTTCCCACACAGCTTTGTACTTGGCTCTGCATCTTGCTTCGTCTCGTCGCTCTCTCCAGACGAGAAGAATGAACAAATAGATGGGGTAGAAATATGGAACTATCGAGCTGCACAGAGAAAACAAAGTTTGAGAATTGATCGACATAGCTATGCCAGGTACCTGGTCCCGCAAGGAAGACTAAACGATAAAGCCAGGAGCAAGTCGCCTAGATAGTTGCAGTGTCTTGCAATCCCCCTTTATAAATTCGACAAATGTGAGGTGGAATTCTGTCTACATCTATTACTCACCAGTATCCAGAGACGAGAAGTTTTCCTCCGATGAGAACAGGTGGTTTCCCCCATATTGGAGCCTTTGGGTTCTTCTTGAACTCGTGCTTTTGCTTGTTTGCACCTCTAAATATTGCATACCTGGAACAATCAAGCTTCAGCGTAATAAGTAAAACTGGAGAAACAATACCCCGCCAAGAAGACAAGAGCATTTAAAAATGCAGCCATTCGAGTGATTTCCGCATTGTTATGAAGCAGCCACCATCCCTACATATACTTGCATGGGGCCCCATTATGCTTCACAAAATCCATACCTGGATGCTAAACGTAAATGGAATCCAGACCATGTCACCAAAAATTAGCATGAAGCCAAACTTCTCCGCAATAATGTCCCACCTACAGACAAGGTGAAAATTAAAGTCTCAGATACTCTTGTGAAGTAAAGCACAAGTACGCACGTTGAGGTCATGTATTCTTCGTACCACAAAAAATCCAGCACGTAGATCTGTACCAAGCAGAAGCATAAATTACGCACTGTAAAGCATCAAATGCACCGTCTTACCGTGCAGAAAACTTGGTATAAAGCCATTGGAAGAGTCAGGAATCCGGCCTGTTCGATCTGCTTGCTTGCAATTGAAAAATTTATCAGGAGCCAGCTGATCATTCCAGCCTTTATCCAGAAAAATCTGCAACAATCACCATGAAGATTCTATGAACGAAAGAAACGAAAGAAAGAGAAAGGAAAAGCAACATACTTGATGTCAATGGTAAGAAACTGAGGATTTAGTTGAAGCCCAAACCACCTGTAGCATTACGCATCAAGTTACTACTGCTCACTAGAAATCTCAAACACCATTACCAGTCGTGAAGAGCATTTCCGGAAGACTGGCATTTCAAAGAGCTGCTTGGACTTTTGGATGCGTAGCCAGTCAGGCATAGAACAATCGACAGCTGAAAGTAGCTTTTGAGTCAACGTTAAGAAATCCTCTTATCATCGCTTACCAGGACACAAAGTGTCAAAGTTGTCGAGAATAGCTCCGGTCCACGATCCGCAAGAACCTAAGCTCCCATCATGTCAGATTATAGAAAAAATATTCCACTTCCACCAAAGTATCGCATTGCTAAGCATACGCACCGTTGGAGGAACCGCCGCTCCCAGGAGCGCCAAGAGCACCACAAGCGACAGCAAACCTACATTCCCAGCAAGAAATCAGAAAAGAAGCTCGAAATGCAATCGATCTGACCATTGCATTTGTAGATTATCCGCGTCCCGTCCGCCAATTCCACCCCAGACACGCGCTGCCCGGGAAGAACAGCCTCCAGCAATGCGAGCAAGCTCAAGAATCCCACAAGAGCCGCTCCCTGCCGATCATAACCATCCGCAATCACTACATCGATCAAGAATCCACAGCGCGGCGCTCACCGTTGCGGCGGAGGGGGGCTGGAGAAGATCCGCCCACGCCATGCCCAAAAGCCCTAGAAATATTAAGCTTGGAGGGAATCGAACTCCAGACCAGGTATTCCATAAAGGTGATTAGACTAACAATGCTTTAATTAAACGCATCCGGCCATCGCGATAGCACTGGAATACACAAAAAAATCCCTGCGGAGGAATGAAACTATGTACAGCTGAGTCAGGGCATATTCTGGGAGCGCATCACGTCAGATTCCCTGCCGACACACAGGACAAGAGCCATGTCTCGCCAGCCATTTATCGACACAGTCCATATGGTACGTGTGTTGGCAGTGTGGCAAACACCTCGCGATCTCCCCACCTTGAAGCTCCTAGAGATTTTTTTTTTCCCCAACAGAGCAGCGAAAAAGGAGCACAAAAGTTCGAGCTTTAGTGGTCGATCCATCGATTCAATCAGACGCCAGGCACGAACAATCAATCAGTCGATCATCGATCACTCCAACTCAAGCAGCGACTTAAATGATTCCCGGAGTGACAGACCCACCAGCATTGAATGCACGAAACACAAGAAACCATGGCGAAGAAAAGGAAAGCGAGCAAGCAAGCATGACTCTCCACTCTATCTCTGCGATAGTAAATTCTGCGAAACCGAAAGGAGATATGGATAGGTGTGCGCTTACTTGTAAGCATATCGCGCAGCACACAAAGTCGCCGAAGCCATCCACACAGTTCTCGGTGGTCACCGTGTGCCATGGGAGCTCCTTGAGACAAGCCTCGGACGCTCCTTTGGTCCCTTCGGCGGGGCCAAACATGTCGTACAGCTCGTCGTAAGTCATGTCGTCAATGTTCACCTGGAATTTGCTTGTGTTAGCCACGGCAGAAAGCAATCCAAAAGTTCCTGATGATCTGAGATCTATCTACCCATAGCTATTGCTACTTTTCTCCTCGGAAAAAAGAGAAGAATTTTTTTTTTCTCTCTGGAAAAAAAAGCACAAAAAACCTGCCAATGGTGTGCAGTCAATAATGCTGGGCCAACCTGATCGTGCATGAACCTGCCGTTTAAGACGTCCTCCACAAACTCTGCCTACAAGCGCACAAAAGGACGTAACACCCGAGAAGTGAAAAGAGAAGAAACAAGAAACGCAAGGAGACGAGCAAAGATCACACCTTTATCCAAACTTGTGCGAAAGATATCGCAGCAAGCAACGAACGAAAACGACGACAGGAAAGCTAGCTGGAATGCAAAAGCGAGCGAGCAAAAGCGAGCAAGCAAAGCAGAAAAACCAAAACTTTAAACTTGCCCAAGCAATCCAAGCAAAGAACATAACGATATCCCAGCCAGGAAGAATGCATGAGTTTTCTTTCACGATCGGATGAAATGAAAGCCCAGACCACACGTGAGATTGCCAAGAGAGAAGCCAAGAAATAAACGAGTGGAAGAAAGAACTCACCAGTGACGCCCTGGATCGTGAACCGGATCGCTCAGAGTGCCAGTAAGCACGAGAAGCCTCGAGAAACTCCACCGAGAGCACGGCTCCAGCGACGGCCCCAAGCCCAGCTCCACGAATCAGCCCACTATCAGTCGCCCGCCCCGCCACAGCGCCAGTCACTGCTCCAGTGAGAGCTCCCACTGAAGAGAAACAAACAAAAAATCAAACACAATTGGATCTTAAGTCGACGTTCTAAGACTTACCTATGGCGAACATCCCCGTGAGCGCTCCCGAGAGAGCCCCCGCGACGAGGCGAGGGACGCTACACACGGAGAAGCCATTCGACCTCTCCGGCGTGGAGGAGGCGGCGGTGGAAGCAGCATCGGCGGCCGCGCTCGTCGATGCCCTGTAGAGATCTCCAAAGTAGTGCATTCCCTGCGTCGTCCGGAGCTGGGCGCACATAGCACACACGCGCTGGACCGCCGCATTGTGGAACGTACACGAATCGCACACCCATAGCCCCTGCTCCATCGATTCTCCCGAAATCCCACCCCTCTCGCTGCGCGCTTGGTCGACCTAGCCTAGAACAAGGGAAAAATGCCAAGAAACCTATCGATCCACGCGCTCTTCGCCGACGGCCTCGAAATATCTGCAATGCGCCACGAGTTTCGCCACTCCCGGCAGACAATCGGGGAAGAAATTCGCTAGCGCCGCTAGAATCTCTCGCGCTGGAGCGCACTACTTCAGGGGGGAAAAGGGGGGAATCGATCAAAGAACGGCTAGTAGCTACTACGGCGCCAAGGCAGCGGAAGAAACGGAGAAGAGGAACTCTATGCTCTCTTGCTGTGCGGTAATATGCCCAATCGTATATTCTCTGCCAGAGGATATTCTTTAGAATATTATCGGTAACAGAGTAAAACCTTTGGGTGCCCTAAGGGTTTATGGCATGGAATGGCGCCGAGAGGTATGGGAGAATGCAGCGCCTAGGCGCGCGGAGGCTCCTCCTGCCATGCCCTAGATCGCTGCGAGATGGAGCTCCTTCGCCTCCCCGTTCAGCATTTTCGCCCGGGAATCGCCTGCTACACGGCTGCGCTGGAATATTTCCAGGGTCTGGAGCAGCAAGATCGATTCGGGATGGATCGCCATTGCCTCTTCGAACGATCTTCTCGTCGCAAAATCGTCGGCTACACTGCTGCGGTCGAGTATTTCCATGCGCTGGGGCCGCGAGATTGCTTGTGCCTCAGATATTTCCCACTGTCTCGAGCACTCCGTGGAGAATCCAGAAGAGATTCATGGGAGGAGCAAAGAAGAGCATGGCAAGGGCCAGGAAGAATTTCGCCAAGAAGGTCAGGAAGCAGATCCGAGCTAAGCAGCTCAGCCAGAGGCCACAGATTGCAGCTCTGGACGTCCATCTCCGGCGGGAGACGAGAATGCGAATGGTATGGAACGTGAAGCTCATTCTAGCGTCCAGAGATGGACATGTGATACCGTCCACGGAGTTTACCAGGCTAGCCAGAGACCTCGGCTTTCCCAAGGCCAAGCTCTTCGCGGATTTCGTCAATAGCTTCCCAGGAGTTTTTAAGATCTCCAGCGACCAGGAGGACAGGCGAGTAAGATGGCTCGAGTTTACAGAGAAGGCGGAGCTCCTGATCGACCAGGAAGAAAAAGTTATGAGAGAATACCACGAGCCTCTCATCGTCCGGAACCTGAGGAAGATCTTGATGATGGTGCCCGCGCATCGAGTTCTTCTCACGAAGCTCTCTCACATACGATCGAGCTTGTGGATGCCTGACAACTTCAAGACGGCCATCCTGCCAAAGTATCCGCAGTACTTTACGGTCACCGGAGCTTACTTGGAGCTAGCAGCATACGATAAAGCTCTCGCTGTTACCACCAGAGAGCTCAACCAAAGGATGAAAGGTGGCGGCAAGGCTGGCGATCGTGACAAGTACAGCTTCAGGATCTGCGTTGAGCCACACACGGTTCTCCATCGTAGCATTCTGAAGAGGATCTTGAGCTTCCAGCGGCTTCCGTTCCCAAGCCCCTACGAGCCTGTCGCCGAGCTCGACCTCCGGTCCATGGAAGGACAGAAGCGTGTGGTTGCCATCTTCCACGAGTTCCTCAGCTTGACAGTCGAGAAGAAAGCGTACGTAGATCACGTCGGGTTCTTCACTCGTGATCTTGGTCTTCCCCAGAAGCTGGAAGACATGCTCTGCCGCTTCCCACACATCTTCTACGTGAGCATGAGGGGCGATCGGCACGTCGTCTTCCTCAAGGAGTACTACCGGAAGGGCCAACTTATTGAGAAGCATCCTCTCTTCACCATCAAGCAGGAGTTTGGCAGGCTCATGGACTTCAGGGTGTTCAGGGAGAGCCGTCCAAGGGAAGTGAGAGGCATCTGTGCGGAAAGCTTTGTCGCGCCACGGCAGCCAGTGTCGGAAACTGGTTGGAGCTTCCCATTTCCTCCGGCCCCGCAAGGATGCGCTCTACAAACTCGTCAAGGAGACGTGCCACAGGCTAAAGTTGGCGAGGTTGTCGAAGCAGCAACAGTAGTGGATCCTGTCAAGGGAGCAAATGCACCGCTGACGAATGGTGCCAATCCTCGCTCTCGAGCTGTCATCCTGAAGAAGCTCGGACTTTTCAGTGACGACGAGAAATCCGACGAAGAAGGAAGACAATCAGTAGCGCCTGCAACAGCTGTTGAAGATAGAGCACCAGATTCGGAGATATTTTTGCAACTGGGCTTCGATGACGAGGATGAAAGTCCGAAAGATGTTTCTGCAACACCTGGAAAGCAGCCAAGTCTGGGAGCGAAGCTGGGATTTTGTAGCGATGACGAAAACTCTGACGACGAAAGGCGACAAGTTAGTATCGGTGGAGGAGGTGGTGGTGATTCCTGGAGCTGGAAGGCACTTCAGCCCAGTCCGCAGGAGGAGCCGCCGCTGGAACGAAAGAGGAAGAAGCGCGTGTCCAAACCATTCTGGGAGAAGAAACCATTCGACGGTTTCAACGATCCATTCTTCTAAGCAGCTCGAGAGGCGAACAACGATTTTTTTCTCAGCTAGTCTCGTCAAGGACCGGTTGGCGCTGCATGAGGATCAGGTACCTGTCGCGGATGAAATCCTCGGGACCTTTGAACTTGAGCTCGTTCTGGAAGAAGGCCTCTCTCAAGAAAACCAGTGGAGGCTCGACGACACCGCTCACGTAAAAAATGCCGGGGTGTCTCACCAGATACGAGCAGAACGTCTTCGGCAAATTCATCTCGGCCCTCAACAGCGTCAGCTTGGAGAGAGCAATCCTCTTCCTCGGTAGCAGGCTGAGCACCTCGTGAACGACACCGATGTGTCTCTTCTCGACAACCGGGGATCCTTTGCTGACGTTCGGCTTCTGCCAAGGCTCGTAAGGGGACCGAAACTCCAACCTCTGGAAGGCTTTGTAGCCTCGACGCCGGGGACGCTCGACCAGATGAAAGCCCGTCTTTGGGAAGGCCCGGCTAAACAGCAACGTCTTCTCTCTGCTCGTCACCGTGAGATCCTGGTCCCAAGACGCAAGCTTGAGCACCGGACCCCGGTTGGTCTCTCTGACATTGAAAAACTTCGGGTACCTGTGAACCAGGCCGGTGTCCAAGTCTCGAGGGAGGCCAAAGTCGGCCGCCAGCCACGAAATCTTGGTGAGTGATATCTCCTGCTCTACAGCCATCATCAGCAGCTTCCTGACGATGTTTACTGACAGGAGCTCGTCCCGCGACTTGATCACTCGGAGCTCGTCCCTGTAAAGCTTGTCCATCTCGGGAGTAAGGTCGATGTACTTGGTTCCCGAGATGAACTTGCCGAGGCCGTCCTGCTCGTCGTGAACCTGGAACACGCCCGGGTACTTGGTGGCAACTCCCAGCAGCGTATCTCGGTTAGTGTCCCGCTTCTTCAGCATGAGAACTTGGGCTTCCTGCTCGGCAACCAGGCTTACAAGCTGCTTCACGGCCTCGATCCGGCGGTCCTCGAGAGCCACTTGATCCAGTACCTTGACTCGATGGGTGGGCGGGATGAGAAACTCGACCGCATTCTCCTCGACGGTTTGCATCAAGGACCCAGTTCGAAGAAACCTCTGCGCCGCCACTCTCAACGGGGACATCTTTCCAGGATCCAGGAGGAGGAGAACTTACCGCCCTACAAGTCCCGGAGGTTACCAAGAAAACCCACGAAGAAATCGTCGATATCTTCCTTGTCCTCGTCGGCGATCTCCAGCGTCACTGTCCGAGGTGGTCCGCCGAGCTCTCTCTCGTAGACGGTCTCCATGAGGCGGAGGAGGTCGTCCCTGGCAGCGGACAGCCGGTTGGGGACTCTCAGCCTGGATCGGTCGAAGCCTTCGCGGAGAAAGATGGTGTTGTTCTCGGGAATGACTTTGGAGACGTAGAAGATCCAGGGGTAGAGGCCGACGAGATGCAAGTACTTTGCCGGCAGCTGGAGCTCCTTTTGGATGAGATTCAAGCGACCAACGACGGCCTTCTTCATCGGCATCAAGCTCAGGAGTTCGTGCAGCACTGCCAGCGCTCGCTTCTCGGCCTCGAGGCTCTTCCACTCGATCCTCCCGGGGTCCTCGTATGGCGAGAAGAATGGGAGCTCCTGGAAGCGCTGGACGCGGGGGTGGTCGAGCTGCTGGCCCCGAGCATCGACTTGGAAGGCGTGGGGTGCTTGGACCGGTGCCAAGAGCTCGCGAGCGGTCACTGCCAGCCCGGGCTCCCAGCCGACGAGCTCGACGTATCCCAGGCTCTTGGGAGTGGTGGTGGTGGTGGCGGGGACGATCCGGAAGCTCTCCGGGTGCTGGGGGATCAAGCGGCGCTTGAAATCCTCCGGGAGGAAGAGATCGTGCTTGAGATGGCCGAGCTTCTCCATTCCAATGCGGTGGTCGCGCGCCATCATCAGGAGCTTCTTGAGCTTGGCGAGCGATTCCATGTCGTCGTGCTGCGCGATGGCGGCGTGCTCCTGGCGCAAGATCTCCTCGGCCGCGGGTGTGAGCTCCACCCAAAACTCGCCGTCGTCGTCCCTCCGGAATTTAAAGACGAGAGGGAAGCGCGCGGCCACCTCGCGGATGATCTCCTTCTTGCGCCGCTTGGCCTTGGAGCGCGAGAGATCTTCCAGGCTCATGATGCTCGCGTCGCGCGACTCGAGCACCGCCATTACCTTCCTCACGATGTTGGCCGCCGATTCGCACCTCACGGCCCTGTCCAAGTGCCTGTCGCGATGGTAGATTGCGTTGGCGCGCTCCTCCCAGGACAGGCGCCTGTTGTCGCGCCGCGAATCTCGCCGCCAGGAGCAGCACCGCGCGAGAATGCGGCGGCGCGGCAGCATCGATCGAGCGATCCCCTGCGCTAGGGTTTCTGGCGGGAATGCTAGAACCCTAACTAAAACCCTGAGGGTTTTAAAATAACGTTAGAACCCTAAGGGTGAAAGGTTTTTGGGCTCAGTGTTGGAGCCCTAAATTTTGAATGGCGATGGATGAGAAAGAGGGCTTGTCTCGCGCGGCTATGGAATCTATGGTGCTGCGCTGCTTACCGAGATCCAGGATTCACGGCGCTAGGCCCAGCGGAGGTATCTCTCGTGGTTTCGGCGCTGAAGGGCTGCGGCGGCTCCAAGGAGCTCGAATTGGGTAAGAGGATCCACAGCGATGCTGCTAGGGATGGCTGCTTGGCGGAGGATTCTATCTTCGTGGCAAACAGCGCCATTCACATGTATGGCAAATGCGGCGCCTTGCTGGACGCGATCGCCGCGTTTGAGAGAATGCCGGTCCACAGTGCCGCGTCTTGGAATTCTCTCATCGTTGGTTACACGGAGAATGGTCGCCCCGGGCTCGCGCTGGAGCTCTTCTTTCGGATGGTAGAAGGCGATCGTCTCTCCGGGAGCTCAGAAGGACGGTGTGATGCTCGGACTTTGGTTGCGGCGGCCATGGCTTGCTCGAGCTTGGCCGTAAGAGAAGAAGAAGCACACCAACATGGCGGTGACAGGATCGTTAAAGATACGAGCCTGGCTTTAGCCGTGAAAATCGAGAGTTTTGCTCTTCTCGATCACAGAAATACTTTCGTGGCAAACTCTTTGGTGGATATGTTTGCCAAGTGTGGGAGCTTGGTGGACGCTTTTAGGATCTTCGAGGGGATGGAGCAGCAGTGTAGGGACGTGGTTTCTTGGACGGCTTTGATCATGGGATGTGTAGAGAATGGGAGAAGCGAGCTAGCTTTGGAGCTTTTCTCTCGGATGCTTGACAGTTCTTCTTGTGCTCGGCCGAATGCTCGAACTTATGTCGCGGTGATCAAGGCCTGTGCAAGCTTGGCAGCCGGAGAAGATGGCACAAAACTTTCTGGAAAGATAGTCAAAGTCGAGAGTCTGGCAAGAGGAAGAGCAATTCACTCACAGGCAGAGAAAGGTGGCTGGAGCTCCGACTTGTACGTTTCCACTGCGCTGCTCGAGCTCTACGCGTTCTGCGGGAGCCTCCGAGATGCCGTGAAGGTTTTCGAGAAGATGGCCGTCCGGGACGTCGTAGCTTGGAACGCTTTGCTCTTCGGCTACGTTGAGAGTGGAGAGGCCGAGCTCGCTCTCTCGACTTTCTCTCGCATGACGAGCCTTGGCGAAGAACCCGACTCGCGGTCGTTTGTTGCTGCTCTCATGGCGTGCTCGTCCCTGGCAGCCAACGAAAGAGGCGTCCAAGACTGTTGGAAGCTCGTGAAGCTTGGATGCCTTGAGAGAGCCATGGCGCTACACTCTCAAGCCAGTAGCACCGGAGCCGAGAAGGATCTCTTCGTCGCCAACACGTTCGTCCACTTGTACGCAAAGTGTGGAAGCATGGAGGACTGTCGGAGGGTTTTCCAGGGGATGGAGCAGCACAGCGTCGTCTCGTGGAACTCTCTCATCCTTGGCTACGTCGAGGCGGGCGAGAACTCGCTGGCTCTGGAAACTTACGTTGAGCTGAGGAGGCAAGGCCGGGTTTTTCCCAATCCCCGGACTTTCGTAGCTGCCTTGATGGCTTGCGGAGCTCTGGCTGCGTTGTGCTCCGGGAGAAGAATCCACGGCGAGCTCTCCAGGTACGGTTTTGACGAGTTTTACAGCGACGAGTTCGTGGCCAATGTTTTGGTGGATTTCTATGGCAGATGTGGCTGCTGCGTCGATGCGAAACACATATTTGATGCCTCGAGCAGCAGGAAAGCGAGTCTAGTCGCGTGGAGCTCGCTGATATTGGGATACAGCCTGCACGGAAACGCGGAGATGGTGTTAGAACTGTTCCAAGCGATGCAAGTCGAGAGAGTGTTACCAGATGGTATGGTTTTCTCGTCGGTTCTTGGAGCTTGCAGCCACGCAGGGCTGGTCGAGGAAGGGAAGAAGCTCTTCGGGGCGATGAAGTCCAGATATGGAGTGGAGCCTGACGTGGATCACTACGTTTGCCTGGTGGATCTTGTTGGAAGAGCTGGTTTTGTGGAAGGGGCCATGGCGGTGGTGAGAGCTATGCCGTGTGGTCCAACTCCGTTGGCTTGGATCACCATTCTAGGTGCCTGTATGAAGTGGAAGAACTTGGAGCTGGGATTGATCGCTTTCAAGTCTCTAGTCGAATCGAGTGATGGGGAAGATGACTTAGCAGCTGCGTGTGTGTTGATGCAAAACATCTTTGCTTGTATATGTTCTAATGCCGGTGACAGAATTTTACCACCTTGCACTTGAATAATCGTGATTTCTTCACCCAAACCTGGAAAAATTGAGATATATATACACACACACACACACATATATATATATCTGTGTGATTAGTGGAAAATAACTCCTTTTAATTAAGAGCGTATAATGGTTGTTTTTATAATATAAATAGAGGGGAGTCTCTTCCTTTTTCGCAGCGATGGCACCTAGTTTAGCCTTAATAGGGGTTGGAAATTTTGCACAGAAGCAGTATTTCCCTCTCTTCTCCACCAAGCTTACAGATGTAGTCTCACTCAAGGCGCTGTGGAGTCGCTCACAGGTACTAGGCTGTTTTTCCCAGGATCCTTGCATGCTAAATCTCTCATTTTTCTAGGAATCTGCGGAGCGATCAGTGTCCTTGATCAAGGATTGTGTTCCAGGAGTTCAAGCAAAGTGGGGTCAACAAGGCCTAGATGACATTCTCAATGATGATACCATCCTTGGAGTAGCGATTGTTCTTCAGCCACAAGTGCAGGTATATGCAATTGCCTGTAATAATATCAGACAGAACTTCTAACCATTTATTTTGATGTTAGGGAGAGTTTGTGATGCAGGCACTCAAGGCAGGGAAACATGTTATTCAAGGTACAAGCTTACCATGTTTATTGTGATCTGGCTAACGCATGAAGCTACAGAAAAGCCTATAGCTCCAAGTACTCAACAAGCTCAGAGTTTGACAAGTTTCTATGAAAGTTTGGGCACCATGAGACCTGTGTGGGCAATAGCTGAAAACTACAGATTTGAGCGAGCACTTGTGGAGGTAATTAATATTGCTCAGAAAACTAAAATATATTCTAAGAATTTTTTGTTTTCACAGGCTCACAAGTTGGTCAAGGACATAGGACACATGGTGGCGGTGGAAGTAACGGTTGAAAGTCCAATGAACATCTCACGGCCATCATTTTCAAGCATTTGGCGAAGAGAGCTCAAGGTAAATGGTATAATTAATCTATTACGGTGGTTGGATAAAAATTATAGGGTGGATATGTTTTGGATGGAGCTGTTCACCAAATTGCAGGGCTTCGAGTGGTAATATTTGCATTTTGTTTTTTTAAAAAAAGAGAAACAAACCCGTTCTTACGTTCATATTTTTTTTGTTTCAGATCACTGGTTCCGAAGTAAAATCTGTTTCAGCAATCTGCCGCCATGTAGATGAAGCATTACCTCCTCCAGACAATGTGTCTGCTTTGTTGTAAGTTTTCTTATTCTTTTGAATTGTTTTGGCTACTAAATCGAAGACTTACGTTTGCAGTGAGCTGGAAAACGGGTGTGCCGGGACTTTGATGATTTCGTTTTCCTGTACAACTAAGAAGGTATGTTCTGTTTTGCTCAGAGAATTTTATGGATGATGAACCTTGGAAATTTAGATGAGCTGGAAAATTGTTGGAACAAAAGGTACAGTTGAAGTCGATCAAGATACTCAAGATGGTCAGCCAGGCTTTATGGTGAGCGATATTCAAATCCAAATTCTCCATCGAATGCTAATTTAATTTAATACAGGTGTCGCATGCTACTTCAGTGGGTAAAAACTCATCTTTTTATCCTTGCTGTGGAGTTGAGGAAGAATTGAGATCATTCATTCACGACCTTTCACAGGTATTATTAGTACCATTGAAATTATATATACTGAATAATTTATGCAGGGAGGAGAAGCTGATAAGCGCAGTAGTCCTGGAGAAGCTTTTATTGATGTTGCTGTCATTGAAGCCATCCTCAACTCAAATGGCAATGTCATTCATGTTTGATGAGCTTATAAAATTATCATAATTCTTTTACATGAGTTCTCTATAGCTGTTCATATTTTCCAAATAGTGTGAGCTTCAGATTGGTGGAGATGTTGAAGATGAGTAAACAATGTTAGTATTTCCAAAGAAGAGTAACAAAAAAGATACATAGTGCCTCGTTGCATTACTGGATGTTCACGAATTGCCGCTGCTTGAGGGTGTTGGATAGAAGAACGTAGGAAGAAGCACTCGCAGCAGTAGACTTGTTTTCCTCCACGCTCCCAAGGGCTTGTAAACTAGTAGTGGTATCTCCGCGGCTTCCACAAGCTCGGAGAAAGGCCGTGCGCTCGCACTCGTCCGGCACGTAAGGCATACTGTCGATGAGCTCCTCCACACTTTCCACATATCCCGCCCGTCCCAGCAGATCAAGCATACAGCAGTAGTGTTGCTTGGCCGGTTTCAAGCCATAGTCCCTGGCCATGGACTGGAAAAGCTGCCATCCAGTGTAAACTTCCCCGAGGTGGCAGCACGCAACCAGGATGCACACGAAAGATATCTCGTCCCCTGCGTCACCACTCAGCGCAATCGTGTAGAACATCTCCATGGCACCACTGGAGCTTTCCCCGCTGCTCGCACAGGCCGCCAGGACCGCGTTCCACGACACCGTGTTCCGCTGCTCCGGAATCCCTTCAAACACCTCTCGAGCTTTCCCCGGATGCCCGTTCCGAGCATAAGCCGCCAGCATCGCGTTCCACGAGGAGAGATTCCTGTCCGTCATCGCGCTGAAAACTTGCTTGGCTTCTTCAAGCTGACCGTTCTTCTCGTAGGCCGAGACCATGGCTGTCCAGCTACAGACGTTTCTCACTCCCATGGCGTCGAAAACCTGCTTGGCTTCCCGGACGTGACCATTCTGCGCGTAGGCCGAGAGCATGGCTGTCCAGGAAACGACGTTCCGCTCCTTCATGAGATCGAAGACGTGTCTCGCGTTCTCGAGCTCGCCAGCTTCCGAGTAAGCACTCAGCATCGCCGTACAGGACACCAAGTTCCACTCGCGCATGCTGTCGAAGAGTTTCTTGGCCGACTGTATCTCCCCGTTCTCAGCGAATGCACACAGCATGGTGTTCCACGAGACCACGTCTCGCTGCGGCATTCTGTCAAACACCATCTTGGCCTCTTGGAGCTCGCTGCCGCGGGAGAGTGCCGAGAGCATCGCGTTCCACGAGACCAAATTGCGGACCCGCATAGCGTCGAAAACTCTTCGAGCTTCTTCTATATCCCCGCGCTGAGCATACCCGGACAGCATCACGTTCCACGATATCATGTTTCGTTCTTGCATCCGATCAAACACCTGCCTTGCACCCTCCAAGTCGTTCTCGTGAGCATAAGCCACCAGCATTGCGTTCCAGGACACCAAGTCGAGCTCTGGCATCGTGGAAAACAAAGTCCGGGCCTCGTGAAAACGGCTGTTCTCTGCGTATGCAGTCAGCATAGTAGTGAAGGAAACCAAGTCTCGCTCTGGCATTCTGTCGAAGTATTTCTTCGCGTCTTCTACGTGGCCTTTCTCAGCATGAGCAGTAACCATTGTCGTCCATGAAACCACATCCCTCTCTGGAGCAATCTGAAACAGCAGCTTCGCCTCGACCAAGTGTCCTTTCCTGGCATAGCCAGCGAGCATAGCGTTCCAGGTCACCAAGTTCCTCTCTTTCATGTCGTCAAACACTCGCTTTGCCTCGTCAGTTTGCCCGCTCCGGGCATAAGCGACCAGCATTGTAGTGCAAGCCACCGAGTTCCGCTGTGGCATTCCTTGGAACAGTGCTCTGGCCTCCTCCAGATGTCCATTGCGGGCATAAGCAGAGAGCATAGAGACCCATGAGATGATGTCCTTGTCGCAGATGCCATCGAACACCGAGCGTGCATGTAACAGATCCCCGCACTTCGCATAAGTCTGTAGAAGAATGTTGGAGAGCTGAATGTCTTTGCTGGGAGAATATATGGCACCTGTTGTGGAGCACCTTATCACTTTTAGTTGATCCACTGACATAATTGAGCTTCCCTCAGCATGATCAATGTGGTCGCCCCTGGCGCGTTTTGTGCAAAACACAAGTGAGCATTAGCTAAAGTGACAAAACTTGTTTACCTTTGGTAGTGCGCGACGACATAATGCTTACGTAAAGTAATATCAGAAGCACTACGGGCATTGCAGGCTGCTGCAACAACAACAACAGCTATTTCAAGTCATGAGGACCCACGAAGAGCAAACCGCGCTGTAAAGTTGTGGTATGGCTGCCGCTCACACTGGGAGTGATACCGACAGAAAGCCATGGCTCACGTTTTGACATGTGAAACCTGCGGCTATTCAATTCTGGGGCATTCTCGGTGGACTTGCGTGTCGGGCACTGACCACAGAGCTATAATTCTCAGCGTTAGAAAAAAGAAGTGCATCGAGAATAACAGACCTCTTACAGAAAAGTCCAAACACTCCGCTCTGCTCACACTGGGAAAGACGTGCCCGTGATCGTTTAAACCATGTCTTGTGAAGAGCACTAGCCACTAAAATACGTTTCGGCAACTGTAAGCTGGCAGGGACAGAATCCTTTACGAGTAAAATAAGAGCCTGAAAACCACACACAAACACAAACGCGATAAGGCGGCGATTCAATGATGCGGAAAGCGTTAGAACAGTCAAAAAGTGTAGACCAAAGATCCATGAGCATCGAGCACATACCTCCCTCTTTCTCGGTGTTGTTGGTGTATTTAACTGCTTGATACAGGTGCCGAAGTACTGAAAGCTTGAGTGAAGAGTATGGCGTCCAGTGCTGCTGAGGATGATCGCCACTACCAGCTGCTAGTCATTGTGTTGATGATAACATTCCTCCCACTGTCGTTACGTGGAGCAGCAGCAGCAGGATCATGCCGGTGCCTCCCGTCGCAGGAATGCTGGCCAGACGCCAAGACGTGGGAGAGTTTCAATGCGTCGGTCGGAGGAGCACTGATAGCAGCAAAGCCGCTGGGCTTCCCTTGCCATGATCCTTACTTCGACGAGAATGCTTGCAAGCTCGTCACCGAGAACTCGGGTGACCCCTTCTGGAGATCCGACCAGCCCAGCGCGTTGCAAGTCCCCAACATGGAGATGGATGGAGACAAAGGCTGCCTGCTGCGGGGCGACAGAGCCTCGGAATGTTTGCAAGGTGCCGTACCAATGTATGTTGTCGATGTGTCCACAGTGTCTCAAGTCCAAAAGGCAGTCTCGTTCGCGTCGCAGCACAATCTTCGACTCGTCATCAAGAACAGCGGCCACGACATGACGGGAAAGAACACGGCCCCGGGGTCTCTCAGCATCTGGGTCCATCACCTCAAGGATATCACTTTCTCGGACAAATCCCACGGGCTCGCCGAGTATGAAGTCGAAGCGCCGGAAGCTCAAGATCCTTGGGTCACCTTCAGGACCCCCAGGTCTCAGAGCTGCCAAACCGGTAAGAACACCCCTTCTGTGAAAGTCGGAGCCGGTGTCCAGTGGGAGGAGGTCTACACCGCGGCGCATAAGAACAAGAGGACCGTCGTAGGAGCTCAATGTGTTTCAGTCGGAGCTGCCGGTGGGTATCCTCAAGGAGGTGGCCACAGCCAGCTCTCTCCATCCTTTGGTCTCGCAGCAGACAACGTTTTGGAGTACGACGTCGTCACAGCCGATGGGAAACTGGTGGTGGCAAACTCTTGCCAGAACAAGGAGCTCTTCTGGGCGCTTCGAGGAGGAGGCGGAGGTACTTTCGGTGTTGTCACAGCGGTCACTTATGTTGCACACCCGGCACTCACGAACCTCGTCTTCGCGTCGTATATCATCACCACAGGTCCCAACAGCACTTCTTCCGCCTTCAAGGATCTGCTTGCCAAAGTCATCAGCTTAAACCCGTCCATGGCCGACGCAGGATGGGGAGGCTTCTTCATCGCTGCCGGCAAGACTCTGATAGCCCAGTATCTTCTCCCCAACAAGGACATGGCCTTTGCAGAGAAGTCGCTCCAGCCCCTGCTTGCATATGTTGAAGGCTGGAAGAACGAGCTCGTCGTCGTCAGTGGTAAGATCAAGGAGTTCTCCTCGTACTACGAATGGCACCTCGAGAACCAGTGCACAAACGGTAAATGCGGCTTCCCGTCTGGTTTCTCTCAGTTTGAAGCATCCAGGCTGATCCCTCGCACCCTTGCTGAAAAATCACCTTACAAGCTCGCGGAAGCACTGGTTTCACTCGGAGAGATGGGCTTCCAGCGGATCTCGGGATATCTCGTCGGTGGAGGCAAAGTTTCCAAAGCCCAGGACAACGCCGTCAACCCTGCCTGGCGAAACGCCCTCTTGCATGTCCTCTACGTGAGGCCTTTCGCCGAGAACAGCACCATGGAGACCAAGTCGAGCATGGCGTCGGAGATGAGCAGCGGTTACAAAATGCTGACCGACTTGACCCCTGGCTCCGGAAGCTACATGAACGAGGCCAACAGGAACGAGCCCTCTTGGCAGCAATCCTTCTTCGGCAGCAACTACGACGCCCTCAAGAAAATTAAGGACAAAGTCGATCCCAGCGGACTTTTCGTGTGTTACCATTGTGTTGGAAGCGAGGACTGGAGCCCCGACCTCAATTGCCGAGTGAGCAGATGATAGGCCTCGCCTGGAAAGAAGCAAGCAAGCATTTGGTTAGAGAAAAAAAGAAAGAGATCTATCTATATTTTGTAGAATGTGTCAGGAACACATGAAGTGAAGCAAAAGTCTCATGAATACAAGACGAAAAAAATGTAAGAAAAACCAAAGAAAAAAATCTCACACATTCCGATCAAACTCGTCGATCTCGTGCATCATGAAATAGAAATAGACATGAAAACGATCAAAATTTCCTTGAATGCACAGAGCTTTGCAGCAAAAAGATCCATCGAACAAGACTGCGATCGAAATCGGTGCTATTGATCGAAGTACCTGATTAACAACCGCGATTCCTCTCACAAATGCGAGCGCGATCGCGACTCGACCGCTCAGCTCGCGCCAGAGCGCCATCTCTGCTCCATCGATCGAAATACCCTAGCCCTAGAAACAAACGGCTATATCCATTTTTCTTTTAAAATTCTCTACTGTACTAGATCTTTATAACAGGCTCGTCGAGGCGCTGGACGACCGACACGCCGCCTCGATTCCCTCTCGTGATCCTGATCTCCTCGTCCAGGTAGAGGTAATCCAGCCATCCCTTGGCCGCCGGGAGAGTGGCATCCACCGATCCATCCTCCTCGCTGATGCTCGCATTGTCGCGCCGGAAGAAATCGATCCACGCCCCCAAATCCCTGGAGAACCTGGGCTTCATCGTCGACGAGAGGAAGAGCACATCCATCCTCTTGGGCGCGGAGATGCTAAACCTCGCGCGATTCACGAGCATTCCCTCGAGATCGTCGCGGCCCGCGACCCGGAACTGGATGATGAGCGAGTAGTCGTCCTCGCCCGTGAATCCGACGTGATTGTACGTGGTGCCCAGCACGATCTCCAGGCTCGTCGGCTTGTAAACGTTGAAGGTCGCCCGCCCCAGCGTGACCACCGCGCCGGAGAAGCCCACCTCCTTCTGGACCTCGCCCTTCCTCCCGGAGTTCTTGAACGAGGCGCGCAATCCCTGGAAGCACCCGCGGTAGAGGTGCGGCACCTGGGAGAGATCCACCAGGGGGCTCAGCGCCTCCAGCGACGAGATCAATCGCAGCGACTCCTCGTCTAGATTCCCCTTGCTATCGTCCAGCCGCTCCGCCAGAGCGTCCTTGAGCGCTCTTCGCTGCTGGCGCTGCTCCTCCTCGGTGGCCAGGGATCCCGCGACCGGACTGGAAGAGCACAGACCTCGTACCGATCGCGCCCGCCCCGGCAACAAGATCGATGCCGAGTTGATTGCCACCGCCATAGCCAAACATTCAAGATAGCAGGAATATTCAAAAGCATATTCTTGGGTCAAAGGTCAAAATAGTTAAAGTCGGTCTTGGTCAAAGTCAATGGCTCGGATATTCTGTTAGATGCCCCCACCACCTTTGCTTATTGCAAAACAAAACCACACACTCACACTTAGACTACTACACGCAAAACTCAGTGTTCCTATGAGCTATGGTACAAGGTTCTGTGGGTATTGTTGGCAAGATCACCCGGTTGCTGTGTGGCCTAACGCCAACGAATGGTTAACTTCGCGGGGAAACTCTACACTGCATACCTGAAAGTGGTGGTGGTGGTGGAACACTGGAGTGGCGGCGAACGATCCCGCGGGGTGGCCACCGATCCACTGGTGCTGCTGCGAGCTTCCAAATGCCACTGATGGAGCTACAAAACTATGGCCTGGAGCTGGAGCTAGAGCTGGAGTCGGAGCTGACAATCCGGGTCCGGGAGCGCTGTAGCTCCGGAGGGCCGAGTGGTGATCCGGATGTAAGTTCCAACTTAGATGCTGCTGGTGTTGGTGGTGGAGGTGGTGAGTGTGATTCTGCTCCTGCTGCTGCTGGGGAAGATGGTGTTCTTGCAGGGGTGAGAACAAGCGATTCCGGTCCTCGAGCCTGTATGTAACTTGGTGATGATCCTGCAACCACCATCGTCAAAGCTCTTAGCTAGCACACTCCCAAGTGAGAAAACCTCCAACCTTGCTCGTGGAGGAATCGTGGAGATGGCCGAGATGCGATGAAGGATACGTTGAATCTATGCTGCCGCGATAAGGAGCTTCGGCCGCCTGTGCACGCATCAAGTTTGTGTTTAGTGTTCTGCCACAGTGAAAACGATGGATAAAGGGAGATTGATTTACCGGCCAGTTCAATCCAGTCTCCGAGGAGTTCACTCGCTTCCAAGCGTCTGATCCTCCCTCGACTGCTGGCCTTTGATCAGACGGGCTTGAGAGCGAGATCCCAAGATCAAGCTGTAAGCTCTCACTGCTCACGCCTGCATGACACACCAAAAAATCAATTGAGAGAGAGGACTTTTCAAGACCACGTAGTACTTGCCACCACGATTTCTACGAAAAAGACGACCATCCTCTGTCGCTATCAATCAGTCAAGATCGAAAAGGCATCGAACTAACAAAGATGATACGACCAGGACGACGAAGAAAGACGAGCTGGTTACGTATACGTACCGCTTCCTTCCGTATGACCCTCCTTCTCATACGAGCTGGGATCGAAGTTCGTCACAGCGTCCCTTCCATTGCACCGAATCGCGGCTCGATCGTATGCCCTGCACTGCCAGTTGCAAGATTAGTGTCACGAACAAAAGAGAAAAAAGATTCGCAAAAGCGCTGCGAGATAAGATAATACTACCTTGCAGCTTCAACCTCGCTGTCGAAGAGTCCCAGGTATATGTACCTTTGAAAGAAGGAAAACGTACTAAAACATCAGTGACACTGGAGATTTTTTTGAGAGGATCGATATAGAAAAACGATTGCCAGGAAAACTACGTACTTCTTCCCGAGGAATTGTCCCATTCTCGCCTCCCAGCGGCCGCATTTGTGAAGTGTTACGCCCCTGAACTTCGAGCTCCCTCGCGAGAAGCCGGTGCTTTGACGACGCAGGATGTGAATGAATTCCTCCTTCGAGAGGTGTGCCATCTGCAAAGGCAGGAGCAAAAAAGAGAGAGTTTGTAAGACCATTTACGATATCTGATTGAGCTGCGCGCGTCTCGCTGCAGCTGCTACTGCTGCTGCGTACCTGTCTGATATCATCTTCGTAATCACTCAGGCTGAAATTTATGTCAGCATCCAGTCCTCGGAATTTGATAGCAGCTTTGTCATAGGCTCTGGAGAAACAAACGTCAATCAAATCCGAACATCAGAGGAGAGAAGACAAAACGAGAACTTGGATCGAAAAGATCGTCAGGAAAGTAAGAACCAACAACGATCCCTCCAACTTGAAAAAAAGAAACGGATAGAACACTCACTCACCTGGCAGCTGAGTGAGCTGTATCAAAACCACCTGGAAAAAAAAAAAGTTCGAGCACATCAGTCTAAGGAAAAAAAAACCATTTTTTTAGTTGGCTCACCTAAGTACACTTGCTTTCCGCAATCCCTGCAAATAGCAACCAAGAAAAACATGAGTTTGATTGAATCCAGATCTGAAGAAAGAGAAAAGAAATCCACAATCGCTCACCAGATATGAGACTCCCATCGCCCAGTTCTCCGGTAGAACGTCACTCCGCGATACTGGGAGCTGCGCGATCTCGGGCCACGCCGGCTCTTCTTTGGCGGTTGACACACATCGCTCAGTCGTCCGGAGGTCTCGGACGAAGCTCGCTGATGGAACTCCAATCCCATCCACGGGGAGGATCTCCCAGCGCCGAATCCATAGACACTCGCTGCTCCAGTCGGCGTCGCCGCCGTGGTGGCGGCGGCGTGTGTCGAAGGAGACGTCGACGACTCGAGTGGAAAGAGCTGGCGTGTGATGAGCGCCGCCTTGTCCTTGCATTGGAATCCATCGCTAACACCGATGAGAGTAGCGTCACTTCCAGCGTGACCTCCAACTCCCAGGATCTTGCAGCTCTCATCGCTGGATTCCGAGGGAGACGACACGAATATAGCGCAATTCCGCTCCACAGCGGAGCCGCCGCCGCCACCGCCGCCACCACTCTCGCCACCACCGCCAGCAGTGGTTCTCGACTCGAAGAACAAAACCGCGGTTCTTTGTCGCTTCACTGCGCCATCGATCTCCTCGAACACCTCCAGCTCCGGATCCACTGCTTTGCTGGACGCCTCCTCGAAATCCTCGGAGCTGCCGGACTCCGTGGCTGCGCCGGCACGGAGCTCCAGCCGAGCTCCTCCTCCTCCGCCGCCCCCCGTTGTGGCCACCGTCACCACCGCGGAGCTCGACGTACCGGAATTGACTTGCGAGGTCTCCACTTGATCGCAAGCACTGGATAGTGGAAGATTTGCTGCTGCTGCTACTGCTGATCCAGCCGCGAGGCCAATCGTGACATCCACGGATGATCCTGGAGACGAAGAAGCTCTTGGCCGCCTGGTGGACAAACTACTGTCGCCTTGATTCCCAGCTCGCGGAGTTATCACGCTACTGCTACCGAGGAGTTGCTGTTGCTTTCCATCGTTCGAGGCAGCGAGAGGAGCTTCCGCTCCACCACTGGCACCGCCGCCACCACCGCCACCACCGCCACTTCCAAGCGCTAGCAGCGGTGCCTCGTTAAGGTCCAACATCATCTTCTTCCTTAGAACTCCTTCCTAGGATCTCGTTTCTCAAAGGTTTCTTGTCTCTTTTTTTTCACTTTTATGCTGCTTCTCGACGAGGCTATCTCTCCATCATCCTGTCCTCCATAGCCAGAGAGATTATAAAGATAGGAAATGGAGAAAACTTTCGCTACCACTGTCCCAGTCCCAGCAGTACTCTCAAGAATCCCATTCGCTGGTTTGGCTGGAAGGACTGTTGGAAGATGTTTGGAGGAGGAGGAGGAGAATTCGGCATTTCTTTGCTGTGGGAGCGATGGATTGTTGTACAAAACCAGAAAAACCAGATAGGCCCTTGTCAATCCTTAAAGCTTCCACATTTGTCTGCTAGCTGCCTTAGTTGTTCGCAACTGGCCGAGGGAAAAGATGGAAGCTCTCGAGAAAGAAATGGAGAGATGATCAAAGAAAGTGGAAGCTTTTTGTATAGCTATGGATGGAGTCTGGGCTCGGAGGTTATGGACAAATCGACAAACGCGCTGGAGTGCCGCAGAACGGAACACTCGAGAAGCCAAGGAAGCCGTGACAAGTTGTCGAGCAGCAGTGTGGAAGGAAATGATGGAAGAACGGAGAAAAGAGAGCGAGAGAAAAGAATGCTGGCTCCAATCCTCAGCTCAGCTCATAACAGTGATGGAATGGAATCCTTGGAGCACAGCAGCAGTGGCCAACGTTAGATCAATTGACAGGCAGCTCGCCAAAGCCGGAGTGGAAAGAAGAAAAGGAAAAGCTGATATTTCGTCGGTGATCCCATAAGTGGCAAAGCTTAAATCTATGCATCTATCTGATCACCCAGTATGGCATTGATTGATCGATGGCGAGACGAGAAAAAATGGGAAGAGCAAGGGTGACGGATGGATTGATTGGGTCAACAACGCAAACCAAATTAAGAAGCTCGGACAAGCCTCCGGCAAAGGCTGGGACAAGCAAGGATGGCGTTGTTGTTTGCAGCAGAAGCGAAGGAGGGACAAAGGGAAGAAGAAGGAAAGAAAAGAGAGATTTGGAAGAAAATGGGAGTGATGAGCGTCACAAGCAGTGATTTTCACCTGTAGAAAGATCACATCTTTGAATGCCAGAAAGAAAGCCCTCCTCTTGATCTTCCTCCTCCCTTGTTCTTCTCGCAGCTCCTCCCCCCTGGCGAATCCGCGACGTGCGTACTGCCCTCATTCACACACTTCATCGCTCTCGCTCACTCGCTCGCTCCTCCCTCTCTCTCTCGCTCTCACTCTGATCGCTGCCTCTGGAGTCTGGATCGCTGGCGCTGCTACTGCCGCTGCTAATCTCTGCGCTGGGCCACTGCGATCGCGCGCTTTTAGCTCGGCGACTATCGCAAGACAGCGAGAGCAGCACAGGAAGAACGAAAAATAAGGCCTAATCTCCGAAAGCGAATCCCAGGTCGTCGGATCGGCCCCATCCGACGGCCAGAGCGGCGAGGCATTCCGCCACTCCCGCGCCGCCGCGTGGCGGATTGGCAGCCGTCGAGATGCCCACTCCCGATCCCGCCACGATGTGGACGAAACCCTCCGTCGGATCCGGCTCCATCCGACGGCAGGAGATGTCCCAAACACACGAACGGCGGACGACGAACGTGGCCCGCCGTACTCCGTCGGATTGGGGATGGGACGTTGTACTGCGCGGCTTACGTGCAGCCGGGGGGCCCAAAGTTTTGGTCCACTTCCGTACATTGGTCGATACCGATGTGGCTATACTATAAGTCTATGACACTTGATAGATGTATCGTGTGCATATTTCTCCATATAGTGAGACATTAGGAAATATATATTTCCTTGGCATTGGGAGTGGCCACGCCTCCCCTCGTGGAAAAAATATCACATGGTTTGAGAAGAAATTTTTTTGATCAATCAAAGGGACGCCCACTTGCGGTTGGTGGATCGAACTCAGCACCAGTAGATAGATTAGAAAAAAGAGAAAAAAAAGAAAAATTAGACGCAACAAGAGGTATACAATAATTTAACTGGAGATCGAATCACCACAGTGTTTAGTTTAACTTACTCACATCGATAAAGACTCTTTATGCCCTTAGGGCATTGGCTAATCCAAGGCTTATTAAACCCAATAGCATTGATCCTCCAAGGCACCTTTTTTTGATACCCACGACTTTGGACCTTCGGAAATATTCACGTTTTAAACTCTAGATCTTATAATGCGGTCCTCTTTCTCTTTGGCCTTTTGGCCATTAGAGAGTCCCACACGTTGCGCTATACAAATATCAACAATGCGACAGATCAACGGCCCTGGTTGCTTACATCGGCGACGTGGATAGGCCCAGGCCACGCCATTTTTGTTTAGTTGGGGAAGATTCTGATTGGGCATCGGATTGCGTAGGATCGATTCTTTCGCTTTGATAGATTTTTATATGGGGTAAAAAGGTACAATGTGCTAAGAGATTAAACAAGTGTATGGTACCTTGTCAAGGTTCGCTACGATAAAAGCAAAGATCTCGGGCGATCTTGGGGGCTTGTTGTTTGTTCCCCTCTTGTTTTGGGCTAATTGATATTATTATCAGCTGGATGGCATGTTTTTAGTGCTAAGCGAGCGAGGACAATCACACAGGGTCGCTAGTCTTTCTCGGACTCACACACGCATTGGGCTCGTTGATCACATGCTTAGTGCACAGAATTATATAAAACTGGGTCCGCTCGTGTTTGTGTGTGTGTGTGTGTGTGTGTGGGTGTGTGCGGGTGTCAAAGGAAGGAAGAAAAGGTCATCGACAATCAGGCCACGAGCAAATCAATCGCAACTTTTCAACCTCCATATAAAGTTCGTCGAGATTCTCCAGGCCACCCAAGTAGCAAGTTGCAAAGTTCGATTTAGCCCTAAAGCCCCGCCACCTTTCCCCTTCTCCGAAACCGATTGATAGACCCGCTCGCGAATCAATCCCAGCTGGATGGCGTGGCGTGGAATTTTTAAACCTCCCCCCCGCCCGCCCCGTACGGTACGGCCCCTGCATTCCCATCTTTTATAGATAAAAGCGAGCGACTAGGGCAGTACGGCAGTGATTGGAAAAGGAGATGATCCCTTTCAAGTGTGGGAACGGTCGAACGACACACGCACCGTACAAAAGCATTTGATAACATCCAAGGTATTTGCCGAGGGAGGTATGCCTTAGATATTGTGGAGTTATAACCCTTCGTATATATAGGATTGTCCTTGTCAAAGTACCGCCCCCCCATGGGAGAGTTTAAAGTGGTCATCTTCTTTTTTTCTCTCCTCGCAGGGTGGTGGCGAAATCTAGCCGTAGAAAAGATCTGAGCCCTAGATAGGCCTCCCTATCCTAGGCCGTTGCTTTTCCACGCTAGCTAGTGTAGTACTTGGCGTTCCATTCTTCTCTCCCTGTCAAAGACGTATACCCTAGCTGGGGCCGCCACCTTTTCGGGCCATTTGTTCTAAGTTAGGGCAGACCACCACGTATCTTTTTCGTCTTTTCTCCCTTTTACTTATTCCAACGGTATCTATGCGTGCATGTACAATCACCCTCTATTGAGGGAAACCATATAATTCCCGCGAGTGCGACCATTGCCTTCACAGTACTGCTGTATATATATCCTTTGGAGTACTTTACTCGTTCTTCCAACTTTCCCCTTTGAACGAAACACGATTTCAACCCATTCTTTTTGTGATTTCGCTCGCTTAGAAAGAGAGAGTTGATTGATTATATTCTTCTTACTTTAGCTCTCTTGCAACTCTGACGCGGCAAGGACAAGGGAGGCGATGTTCTTGGCGAAAACAGCCTCCATAAACTCGATAATTTCGCGTGAGTTCTTCGTCTCGCAGCGCGAGATCTCAAACCTCCACTCCACCCTCGACTTTGCCGAGTCCTGCTCGCTCGCCGACACCGTGAAAGTGGAACTGTAGCCGCTCGACAGTGGATCGATGTTGCCATCCTCGAGAACATACGTGAACGAGCGAGCGCTGGGATCCATAGCCACAAGCTTCTCCGTGATCCAGGACTTTTGGCCGTCTTGGCGCGGGAGGGAGGTCCCGACGACGAGCCTCACGCAGCCGGGAGCTCGGTCGCCATCGCCTTGGATGCGCCGGCACTCCTCGATCAGGGGCATCCACTTGCACAGCCCGCAAAAATCCGAGGCTAGCTCCCACAACTTGGCGGCCGGGGCGTCCACAATTCGGGTCACCCCGCCGCTCCATTTGTCCCCCACCATGAATTCTCTCCCGGAAACGAGGGAGAAAACTCTGAGTCACAGATAGAAAATTTTCCTGAAAAAAAAATTACCAAATTTTCCTTGAAAGAACCAATTTTTCCTGGAAGAAACCTTTGAAAAAATGGTGTGCACACACCTTTGATCGTATTCAATTCGAGCGAGCTACCGAAATTCTAGCTCCAGGAAGTCCGTCCGAGCGAATTAACTGCGGCGAGAAAGAAAGATGGAAGCGATCCAAAGTCAGTCAACCAAAAGACGGATTTTTTCGGCTCGCACCAAGTCGTAAAGCAAGTACCTGTTGCTCGGAAGAAGATGGATATTCACATCCACAAGCTTGGAGATAAAAGGAAACAGGAAAAATCAGCCGAGAATCCAAAACCATGTACCTCTTTGCGTCGATCGGACACAACTCACAGCGATGGGATAGAAGGCCGGCCTCGCGCAATAATAGACACGGGTTCCTCAATTGTTCGTCGTCTTCCTTGTGTTCTCTTTTTCTTTCCATTTTTTTTTGGGCTCCCATCTTTCAATTCGTCCAGCAGGAAAAAGGTCCCATTTGGCCCTGCGCGATCATAGAAAACCAAGATCTCAAGCAAGGTTGAGAGCTTACTTTACCTCTTCCAAATTTCCGGGTACAGATTTTGTCCGCCTCCGGCCAAACATCCATCGATTTTTCTTCTCGTTTTTTCTTTTCTCCTCCTCTGCCTTTTTCGCGACTGTGCCTGTTGTTGTTGGTTGTTAGAAGTGGCTTTCAATCCCAGCTGGTGAAGCACAGTCGCTTGTGGTCCTGAAGAGAAGAAAACAACCAAAACAAAACGATATTGGAATCTCTGCAAGAACTATATAAGAAACCATCAACAGGCACATTGAAAATCCATAGAATAATAAAAATCGGGGAATGAATGAGGGTTCGTCGACGACTTGCCTGTTTTCTAAAACAGTGGCCACCGACAGTTGAGAATCGCTCCAAAAAAGCTCCACGATTAAAAATTCTCGGAGCTCGCAGAAGCAGTGAGAAACTTTCTACCTCTCTGCGAGGCCCCTGTTTTGTTCTCGCGCTGTCCAAGAAGCTTTGCGGGTAAATTCGAGTCAGTGGATCCATTCGAGGAAGAAGTGAAGAAAAAAAAAAAAAAAACTTTGCTCTTTACCTACCTTTGTTTTGTTCTCGCACTGTTCTTCCCTTTCGATGCCACAATTATTGCCACTCCTTTGGTGTTTGCTGGCTGGCTGGCCGGATGAATCTCGCGAAAAAACTTTGCCGTGGCAGCCAGGTAGTCTGGTTGGAAATCACACACGAAAGAAAATAAAGAGGAACCCACGGACAGGAAAAGGAAAAAAAAAAAAAAAAAAAATCCCAGAGATTCATATTCGTTTCTCGCCGGATCATGGTGTCCACTAGCGAGCGATCCTTTCTTTCCTCCACTAGCGTGCCACGTTTTTTCCATTAGCTCGTCCTTTCACCTCGTCGGAACTAAATCGCATCACATACCTGCGAAAATGCGAACAAGATCTCCTGATAAACCAACTTTTTTTTGGGAGCGATCTTTGCAAGCCCTAGATTCCCCAAAAGATGCTTCTCTCCTAGATTCTAAAAAATACTAGCATTTTTGGGTGGAATAGGTTTTGCATGTTACAGAGCATAACAGGTGGATCCATGCAATCCAAATGCTTGCCACAGTGAATTATATAGACACTGTGCTCTCGAAATGTTAAAAGCATACAGTTAAGTTTTACCGAATGATTCAAAAGTTACATTGGGCATTCATATGTATGAGAATGTGCTTTTGATATTGTTTTAATCCGTACATTAAGGAATATACATATACATTTTTTTGAAAAATACTAGCATCTTTTGGGAAGTCTAGGATTTTTAACTCATATGAACCCTAGATATGATTTCTAGGGTTCATGCGACACCTAAACCCTAGATTCTGAAAAGATGCCGTTAAACCTTAGGTCTTATACTGTCTTTCCTAGGAGCCACCGAACAGATCGTTCACCATCTTCTCCAGCTCCTCGGGCGTATACTTGATATACTTTTGCGGATTCCTCTCGCTCTCGAGGTAGATCTTATACCGCCCCAGGAACGCGCGGTACCCCTGGATGAGCTTCTCCGCCACCGAGATCCGCAGCTCCGACCGCAGCTGCGAGTCCGGGACGCACCACCCCGACTGCGTCCGGTGGATCTCCTCCAACGCGCTGTTGAAGCTCTTGAATCTCTCCTTGAGCACCGCCTTGGACACCCCGGTGGAGAAGCTCCCCCCGGATCGTATCCCCTCGTCCTTGAGGCAGGCAAGAACTTTCACCCACGCCGATCGCTCGTAGCTCTTGGCGTGCTGCCGGACCTGCGCCGAGTGGCGGCGCATCCAGTCGTCGCCCAGCAGCGAGCTCAGCTCCGAGTGACGCACCTTCTGGACGATGTATCTCACGTTGTTCATGAGGAAGAGGTTCGTGAGCGCCAGATCCTTGTAGAGCTTGGACTTGTTGTCTAAGTTGGCCTCGAGGAGGTGGATGATCCAGATGAACTGGACCGCGAGCGGGGACGTGTTCTCCGCAGGGACGCTCGAGTACTGGTGGTGGTGGTGGTAGTACTCGTCGCTGCTACCGTAGTAGCCACCGCCGCCGCGAGCAAACTCGTCACCGGGAACCACTGGCACCGCCGGCTTCTCCCCGAAGAGCTTCTTGAGCGTGTCGACGTAAACCAGGAGGAAGCGCAGGTAGTTCATCACGAAGCGAGTGAGCGGATGGAGCGCTCCTCGAGGCACCGGCGTCTTTGGAGGATCTCGCTGGACCGCGTTCTCAAACTCGGCGAACGTCCCCTTGGCGGCCTCCCCCAGCCGCAGCAGCACCCCGGACGCCTCCTCTCGGACGCTCAGGCAGCTCTCCCCGGAAAAGATGGAGTGGATCTCCGGCAGCAAGTCCCGCAGCTTCTCGTACATGTCGAGGATGGTGATGAGCTTGTCCGTCTCCCGCTTGCCGATGGCCACCGCCTCGCCGAAGCACAGCAGCTGCATCATGATCCCCTTGGCCAGCTCCGCGAAGCAGCTCTCCTCCACCCCGCCGGGGATGCCTTCCAACACCTGGTCGCACAGCTGCCGCTCGCTCGCGAACAGCACCTTGACGCCAACGTCCATGACTTGGATCCACTTCTTGATCTTGTTCTGGAGCAGCTCCCACGGCATCCGCTGCGTCTCGTCGATGCCGAGCCTGTCCATCCCCAGCCGCTGTAGGCTCTCCTCCAGCACCACCTTTCTCACGCTGCCGTAAATCTGGCAGCACTCGAGCTTGCAGTGCCCCTGGACGAGCCTCTTCGCGATATCGTTGAGACTCTCCACCACGTCGGGTGGCAGGAGCTCGATCACCGGATTCAAGTCGGTCACTGGCCGAGCAACAGGAACGTCCTCGTCGTTGTCATCGTCGGAGCTGTTCTCGCCCTCCTCGTCGCGGTAGGTCCCCGCGATGGAAGACCCTTCACCATCGTCGTCACAGTTGGAGTTGAAAGACGAGGACGCAGCAGCAGCCATGGACGAGCTCGCGAAGGAGTCGAGCAGCCGCTCTGGATCCACTGGCCCGCTCGTCGTCTCGAGCAGGCATCTAAACTCGTCCTCCAACCGAGCCATGGAGACGTGGAGCAAATTCTGCGCTCGCTCCACCCCGGCTCTTCTCTGCGAGAGTGACAAGCTCTCCAAGATGTTCTGGACCTCGTCCACGGCGTGGAGGTAGTCCACAGCGTCGTCATTCGAATCCCAGATCATCTTCGTCCACGCAGCGTCGGAGGAGGCCTTGTCCCAGCGCATGATCACCTCCTCCGCGGCATCCAGGCTATCCGCGAAGCCATCCGGGAGCACCGACGTCGAAGAAGCGCTCGCGATCGTCTTCTTGGAGAGGAGCTCGTGGAAGCGATTGTCAAACTTGGAGAGGATCTCTATCATGTCGTCGGTCGTGGCATCTGTGGTTCCCAGCGATCTCACAATGTGCTGTGCCGTGGCTAGAACACGCTCCTCCCCGTCCAGCGCCGCCATTCCCTGGATCTTCCCCTTCCTAGCTCCTTTCTACCTCTAGCTCTGGCAAGTAAACCCTCGGTTCCACGGCGCCAGGCCGCGCGGGCATCGATCGGCCGCGGATTCGAGCGATTCACCCTCGACTCTCCGCTGCGGGCGAGAAATCTTTGTACCTGGGAGTGGCGAATGCGCCAGCGCCAGCCTTGAATGCACGCCGGATGGAGCCAAATCCAGTGCTGCTCTTAGGCGCATTCACGGAGATTCTTCCGTGAGCGCGTTGCTCGCCTCGCGCTCCTCTCGATCGATGGATGTCTCACTGGCTAGGGTTTCCAGTCCACATCTTGACGAGGAAGAAGAAATTGCCGGCGTATATTCCCTCTCTTTGCTGGTTTTAACAGTGTGAGGGTCAACGTCGTTTTTTTACTGAGAAGTGCTTGGCGACGACTTCGCGGAACTTCTCGTCGTCCATTCTCAAGCGACTGCGAAAAAAAATCGATTTTTTTAGTCCAAGGAAGCAAGAATAGCTCGATCGATTGATCGATCGCTGGAAAGAATGTGGTGAATCCAAAAAAATAAAATGGATGAGAAACATACCTTCCAGATCTTTTGGAAGACTCTTCCTCTGCGGCGGCCAGTTTCTTCTTCTCGCGTCGAGCTTTGAAAGCTTCCCTGGCAGCGACGATTCGAGCAAGAACTCGCTTCTCCAAAAGCTCGATTTTTTCCTCTCGCAGCTTGAGGATCTGCTGCTCCAGCTCTGCCACCGACGATTTCTTCCGGTTCTTCTTGACGATCTTCCGGAGCTTGCTTATCTCCGTATCCAGCTCCAGAATTCTCGCGTTGCTGCTCAAGATCACCTCGTCTGGATCACCGCCGAGATCTTCTGCGGTCAATGGCACCGAAACGTCAACTTCCACAAAGTGTGTGTTGTCACTGCTAGCCTCAAGAGCTTGATCGCGATGATCTCCCTCGCTATCTTCTTCATCTTCTTCTTCTTCGACCCATTCTCCGGAGCTTTCAAGTTCTTCCTCGTCGCCAAAGTCATCGTCTTCCTCCTCACTGTCCTCAAATTCTTCAAGTTTGCTTCCAACAGCCAGAGAAGACGTTTCGAAGTTTTCTTCTTCCTCGTCGCTCTCTTCGTCACCACCTTCGTCATCACAATCTTCGTCCTGTTCGTCCTCTTCGTCTTCAATGATTGTATCCGCTACAGATTCCTGTACCTCGTCGTTACTGCTACGATCCTCTGACGCATCATGCATCGACAAAAGTGAGCTCTCATCCGCAACTGGCGCTGCGATTGATACCATCCCTGTTTCTGCTTCGTCGTCTTCGATCTCTACAGTAGTGTCACTGGCCGTCTTTTTCTTCTCGTTCTTTGGAATGTGCAGCTCGTAAGTCGGGAGCTTTTCCAGCTTTCCAAACAAAAGCTTGCGGATTTTAAACTTCTCCATGAATCTGTAACGAGAGAGAAACCAGCTTAAGGAGCAAAGAAAGAGAATTTTCTCACCTTAACGCGTTGCTTTCCTTGGCAAAAGTGAGAATGGCGGATCCTTTGCAAACAGGCTCCCGTGTCTTGTTGTTCGCGAGTTCGTTTGGTCTGATTTGCAAAAGGCCGGGCACTCCCTTGTAAGCCAGTCGCAAGTCCTTTGAGATGTTCTTCTTCCTTGGTAAGTGAGTGATTTTCACCTTGATTCCTTCAACTTGTGGCTCTGTGTGATACAATCAAAGTTACTGCAAAGTTCTTCGCAAGTCATGAGCATGAAAGAAAGAAAAAAAGATTCCTAGCTTGCGAGATACGAACTTAAAACTTGCCTGGCTTTCTCGTCCTGGTCGATTCGTTGCCACTCCCCTCCACAACTTTACCATCCTTGAGCGAAATTCTTCCCATTGGATTCGCACTAGTTAGATCTCCCGGCTTCTCGGAGCTCTTCTTCTTCTTCTCCCCCGCACCAGCGCTCCCCTTGTCCATCTCCTCCAAGATTTCCTCCTCGAGAGCAGTGTCATACTCCTTTCCAATCCCAAATCCCGGGGGCTTGTTCTTCATCCATTCCGCCATATCCACAATGTCGGTCAAGTCTCCTTCCTCGCCATCGTCATGCTCTGGCTCTTGCGAAGAAGCCTTCTCGACTTTCTTCTTCTTCTTCTTCTTTAGCTTCACCACGGCCGCCTTGTTCGTGCCTAGAGCCTATCAAAACAATCGCTCTCATTCGAACGAACGAAGGCTTCTACGCACCTGTAAACGCAGCGCCGCCGCCCGATTCCCGACCTGGAGCCGCTGGCAGTGGAAATGCGGGGGCCAGGGCGCCCAGGAACACCGGGCGATCGCCATAGCCATTGCTTCATCCCAACAACCCTAAATCAGGGTTTTGGGTTTTAAATTAGGGTTGTGGAGAGGAGATTTAGGGTTCCTGATCGCGGATGGCGGGAGAGGGCAGTCTGGGGGATTTCCTGGCGTCGCTTCTACCCAAGGGAAAAGCTGAATTGGCAGACAAGGCGCTGAAAGCTTTGCTGAAAGGGGGCATCGATGAAGTGGATCAATTGCGTACGTTCTCTTGTGCAGAGCTTCATCTGTGTGGAGTGCCCTTGCTGCTAGCCAAGAATGTGAGCAAGTTCTTCGCTCAGTTAAATGGAGACCGGTCCAGCTACTTCGAGTCGGATGCGTATCGCCGGCTCAAAAACTCCACGCCTTCGCATCTTGCCTTGGATTCCGCTGAGTTCACGCTGGAGCATCAGATGAAGAAGCCGCCGGTCTTCATGAACTACCGCCCAGACACAGCACAGGGCCTGCCCTTGCCTCTCATCTCTCCCGTCTTCGCCAACTTCCTCGATTCGTGCCAGGAAACCGAGGTCCGTCCACAGGATTCAGCGTTTGTGGATGAGCTATGCCGTGAGTCGTCCAAGGCGTATGCTGACGAGCAACAGAGGCGCCTTATGCTGCTCAAGCTGCTGGAGAAGTACCTGGATGACAAGTTCGTGCTCGAGAAGACCAAGTCCGGCATTGCAATCTCTTGCGGTGGACGGCTTTTGGCGTTCGTTGCAGTGAGGAACGAGCAAGGGTGCGGAGGAGATCCTTTCATCCAAGCATGCAGGTCTCCTCTCTCTCTCTCTCTCTCTCTCTCTCTCTCTCTCTCTCGCTAACTTCTTAGCACAGGTACTATGTCGATCACCTTGCTGCCAATGTGGACGATGAGATGCTTGGGCGTGGCTGCTGTCCAGTCTTCCTGCTGGAGGTTGTCGGTCCTCTACTCCGGATTTCCGGTGCAGCGTTTACCGATGGTCCCGTCATGGAGCCCCTGCGAATGGGACTTCTCCTCCGCAGGAGGAACGCCGGCGAGATGGATTCTCTGTGCAGGATGGTGGTCGCTCTTCGCAAATCACTGCAGTCACTCGCCTCGATCAGTATCCAAGCATTGAAACTGGATCTTGCAGGAGCCAAGCTCCCGTATGTGTTGCAAGAGCTCCACTTGCGGGGGGCGCAAGTGGATACGATCATTTACGGGGAGACTTACGTTGTCCATGTAGAGCGGCTGCAGCATGAAGTTCCAGAGCCTCCGTCCTCCTCCATGTCCGCGTTCGCAAGGATTCAGCACCTGGGCGTCGGGAAGATCTTCGTCAAGTTTTGCCAGCGCTACGGCAGCCAAGTTCACAGGGACTGGTTTGAGCGAGGCTGCGCGCCGCAGCTCTTCGACACCTTGAGCTTGGGAGGTGGCTGGCTGATGGTGTGCATGGAGTACATGGAGAACTACATCGATCTTGAGAAGGCGAGGGAAATGTTTCAGTCGCAGTGGAGTGAGATTCAAGCTCTGGCACAGCGTTGCTTGGACAAAGCACAAAACTCGGCTTTTCAAGGCGTGCATGGTGATTTGAGGCTGCCCAACTTGATGGTTGATCCACAGCTTTCAAGAGTCGTCGCTGTGGATTTCGGATGGGCTGGGAGAGACGGCATTGACAGGTACAAAACGCTTTTTCTTTGGTTCTTGAGAATGGTTTTTTTCTTCTTTCATTCAAGGTATCCTTACTACATGAACCATGCTGACATTGCTTGGCCTGATGGAGCGTTAGATGGCGCTGTGATGAGACGCGAGCATGACCGGGTGCTATTGTCCTCGCAGCTGGCGCTCCAAAGGAAGAGAAAGTTAGCGGACGCCTTTAACGATTCTACGTTGTTTCAGCTCACTAGATCTAAATTGATGTCTTTAAATTGATTCATTTGAGTAATATTTTCTTTTCATTTGCTATGTAAGATATCATTGTAAGAAATGATCATTTAATCAATTTAGTTTTCTAATGGCTTTCTGTGTCCTAGCTTAATATATTCTCTCGATTGTGGAAACTGAAGTTGCTGTGGTTTTGTTGGTGGAGTATAAGAGTTGGGAATGGCAATGTCATCCCCTAATTCGGCTCCTACTGTTGACATTGAAGGATTTGGGAAAATGGCACCACTCATATCTTCTTGGTGGTATCAAAAAGCATTAGTAGCGCCTACATCAACTTCTGGATTGCAAGCATCCCAACTAGAACCTATCTTTTGGTTTAGTATATGATTATGGTGAAGACCTAGAAACCACATGTATGATTTCGTGCTTATACCACCCATGAAGTTAGTTGACTTGTCAACTTGCTCACTAATATCATTTAGCAGTACCATTGTGGAAGCTCTCTAGACTGTCTCCTTTACCTCCTCGCTCCATTGATGTGATATTGAGACCGACTCAATTAATGAAAGATTTTTGTTATCAAGATCAATGGAAGAATTCAAGGGTCTTCAAGTTATTTGAGAGAGGATCTCCAACCCCGAGCTTCCACCACAGAATTTTATCTTGGTAGCTCATGACACAATTGCTTTGCTTTTCAAATGTTCTCATAGCAATCAATCATGGTGCATTTATGTTTACTTTAAAATCTAGATCCCCTTGCTTTATAAGAAAGTCCAGATCGCAAAAGTGAGAAGTTCTAAAATAGGAAAATACCATCTTTCGTCTTGCCACTATGGTACCACTGGTGCTCCAATCTCCTGGAGCTGTACAATTTTGCAGGCTATTTATAAATTTTATTAGCCCAACTCTCATAATTAATTTAGAACCTCTAGCTAGTTATCTAATTTTTTGTTTAACATTTGCAAAATATTTTTGATTTACATTTGTTATGACCCCATCGTGGTTTACAAAATACATATCTAAGGTGATTTAAAAAATATTTTTAAATTTTATTGATAAATTTAGAGCATTTGAATTATATATTTTTCAATACTAATGATATAGATATATTCTAAGAAAATTTCTGTAAGTTTTTAATTAAGAATTGAGATTTTCAATAAAAAGTGAAAAAAAAAACAATTTACCTATTGCATTGTAAAATGCTGACAACAACTTTACACATTTGTTATGATACCTTTTGAAATTTAAGAATTTTCACCATATAATTGATTTATTATATAATATTTCAAAATTTAAAAAAATATTTTACATTTTTAAATTAAACAAAATACTTATACAGTATCAGATAAATAGCCCAAAATAGGCCATTAAAATAACCTAGCAACGGAGTAGGGCAGAAATGGCTGGTGTGATATGGAGCTCCACTCATCAGGTACTCTAGAATTTGTAAATGTGGCTGCCTCTCACCAAAATCTATGATGCTACAAGTTCCTCATGCCCACAATCAAAGTTTCTCGCAAGAGGATTCGAGTGAAGGCTCGTAGCATCGCAGCAAAGTCTCAGCCAGTATGTTTTTTTTGTCATTTTGGATCGCTTTGTAGTGTTCCTATCCTTCGATTTGTGTTGCAAGGCCGTGGTTGTTTTGGACATTGAAGGAACCACCACTCCAATCTCGTTCGTTTCGGACGTTTTGTTTCCTTACGCTTATAACAATGTCCACAAGCATTTGGTCTCGACATTTGACAGCCCAGAGACCCAGCGCGATATCCAGCTTCTCCGAGACCAGGTTTGCTAGAGAACAAGTTTCTTCGATGTTCTTAACTTTATTTCTCTTCCATTTCTTTGATCAGGTAATGCAGGACTTGGCCGAGCAAGGTAGCTCTCCAGGAGCAACCCCGATTCCTCCAGAAAACGTTTCATCCAAGGAGGATGTTATCGACGCCGTCGTAGCAAATGTCAAGTGTATGATCGATGCTGATCGCAAAGTTCCCGCATTGAAGGAGTTACAGGCACGAAAGAGCAGCGTAACTTTTGTGAGTTTCTTCTGATTCCTGTTGTTTGGGATCAGGGTCATATTTGGAGAACAGGTTTTACCACTGGTGAACTCAAAGGACAAGTTTTCGATGATGTTCCTCTCGCTCTAGAACAATGGCAACAGTCAGGAACAAAGGTAAAAGAGTGAAGCTCTTTTTTTTTTATTTTTTCCTTCAAAAACTGTGGATTTCCACACCAGACTTACATCTACTCAAGCGGGAGCCGTGAAGCACAAAGGATGATATTTGCGAGCACCCAGCATGGTGATTTGCGACGGTTTTTATGTGGTTTTTTCGACACAAGCATTGGGTATATCATTGTGTTCTATAGGAACTAGAGAAGTACTCATCTTATTTGCTTACCAGGCACAAACGGGATCCACAGAGTTACAAAGAGATCTTCCAGTTTGTAGGTGTGGATGATCCATCGCTTGTCACTTTTGCAACGGATGTCCTTGAGGAAGCACAGGCTGCGAAAGAAGCTGGTATGTGAAACCTTTTAAGTCGCTTAACACCGGTCTTCTTCCTTTTTTCTTGTCAGGGCTCCAAGCTGTGATCTTGCTGCGACCTGGTAACAAGCCATTACCCGCGGATCACACAGATTTTAGGACAATAAGCTCTCTGGCGAGCTTGTAGCTTTCGAAAGATGGTAAAAGAAAGATATCTTACTTGAAGGAGGGAAGCTTTTTCTTTGTGTGAAGTTTCATCGTTTTCTTTCTTCAGCTGGCGGAGTTGGATAGAACGTTCTCTCAAATGCTCGAAACGAGGTATGGTATTTCTAGAGCTAGATAGCCATGCTGTCGCAGAAACTCATGAGAGCTTTTCAAAGCAGGAGAAGGAGATGCAAGCTCTTGTCGAGTCCCAGCTTTCGCCTGGAAGAACAAGAACAAGAACAATCCTCCCGGAAGCCGATGGTACAAGGAACGAAGAGAACAGGATGGATTCGGCAAGCTATGGAAGACTTTTGCGAGAATGCGGCTTCTCAAAGTCACTCTCTAAAGGCATGGAGATCCACAAGAAGCTAGCCGAGTCTGGAGTGGACAAAGACACATATCTGGGGAACAACTTGATCCAAATGTATGGGAACTGTGGCTGCGTGGGCAAAGCTCGAGAGATCTTTGACAAGCTCATCGACAGGAACGTTTACTCGTGGACCATCATGCTCTCGGCTTATGCCCAGAACGGGCATTACAGTGAGGCATTGGTTCTAAGCTACCAGATGGACTTGGAAGGTATCAGGCCAAACTCCGTCACCTTTCTATGGATCCTTGGAGCTTGCTCGAACTTGGGCGACGTAGAAACCGGCAGGAAGATCCATGCAAGGATGGTGTTTCTCGGCTGGGACACCGACACCGTCGTAAGCACTGCGATCCTAGGAATGTATAGCAAGTGTGAGAAGCTCGGCGATGCGAAGAAGGTCTTCGATTCCTTGAGGAGAAAGGATGTAGTTTCATGGACTGCCATCATCACGGCCTTTTCCCAGCTCGGTCGTCCAAGAGTAGCGCTCGAGCTCTTCTGGGAGATGGATCTTGATGGTGTCAAGCCCAACGAGAGCACCTTTGTCAACATTTTAGCGGCGTGTACTTACATGGACGCGTTGGAAGATGGAGATAAGCTCTACAAGAGGGCCATCTCTTGCGGCTATGGCGCGGATGTTTTCGTGGGGAGCACAGCCGTGACCATGTATTCTCGGTTTGGAAACCTGGTGGAGGCCAAGGCAGCGTTTGATCATCTGCGAGAGAAGAGCACTGGATCCTGGAACGCCATCGTTCGTGCTTACATCCAACACGGCCATATCTCGCAAGCTATAAGCCTGTACAAGGAGATGGACGTGCATGGTGCCGAGCCGGATACTTTCACGCACGTCTGCCTCTTGGGAGCTTGCTCCAGTCTTGGAGCGCTGGAAGAAGGCGAGAGAATCCACGCAAGGATGGGAGACAAGCCGGATGGACTCGCTGGCTCGGCTATCGTCGCCATGTACGCAAAGTGTGGAGGGATCGAGCACGCCATGACCGCCTTCACGAAGATGAGCTCCAGCAACGTGGTCGTCTGGAACGCACTGATAGCCGGCTACGTCCAAGGCGAGCACTGGCAGGAAGCTCTGGATTTGTATCACGCGATGAACTTGGAGGGACTGGAGGCGGATATCTACACTTTCTCCAGCGTTCTTGGAGCTTGCTCTGGAGCGAAAGATCTCAGCGAGGGGCGGGCAGTCCACGCGAGGATAGTTTCCGGGGGCTTGGAAGTGGTGGTACCGCTGCAAAACGGGCTCGTCAACATGTTTGCGAAGTGTGGGAGCTTGACGCTGGCGCTGGAGATGTTCCGCGGCATGGCTTCCAGGAACACCGTGTCGTGGAACAGCATGGTGACGGCATTTTGTCAGCATGGCGAAGGCGGTGGAGCTTTCGAGCTCTTCAAGGAGATGCTGCTCGAGGGAGCCGAGCCACACGAGCAGACTTTCACGAGCATCCTAAACTTTTGCAGCCACTCGGGTCTCCTGCAAGATGGATTCGGCTACTTCTTCGACATGGTGGATGAGTTTGGGATTGCTCCGGTCGACGAGCACTACAGGTGTGTGATCGATCTGCTGGGAAGGACTGGACACATCGCAGCGGCTGAGAAAATGGTGGAGCATGCGTTTCCCGGCAGCGTTATCGCGTGGACGAGCCTCCTGGCGGCTTGCAGAACTTACAGGAATGTGGAAATCGCTGCTCGAGCTACGGAGGAGCTCATGAGAGTGAGACCAGAGAATCCGGCACCACTCGTTCAGCTGGCAAATCTCTGTGCCGAGGCGGGAAGATGGGATGCAGTGGAGAGAGTGAAGCGGATGATGGAGGAGCATAGAAAAGCTCGGGCTTGAGTTGATTCGATCAAACCAAGTCAGTTAAACGTCAGGAAGATCTCTCAGTCACAAGGTATGGCTTTTTATAAGTTTTCTCCTTGCTAATATTTTTCATACAGGTGGAAAACTCGCTTTTTTCTTCGACTTGGTGAAGGTTTTGATAATTTCGCGTTGTCATTGCTATCAAAGAAGATTTTTTATCTTAGCTATGCGACTTAAGTCACGGCAAGAGCCAGGTATAAGGTTTCTTAGAAGTTAACATTCGTGTTTACAGAGCGAAAAGCAAATACGAGGATATTTTTTGCTGGCTATGAGGTGAATGGTTATCAGCTCCGGGGAACTCACAGGTGAGCTCCTTCCAAAATCCTTTCCACAGGTCTCAGAACATCGCAGCAATTCAGGCAATGGGCTCCAATCAAGTCCAGATTTTGCAGACCTCCTCCGGCACTACGCGAGAGAGAAAGATTTATCTTCAGGGAAGAACCTACACTCGCAACTCAGAGAAACCGGACTGGACCGGAGAACACTCTTGGGGAACTTGTTGGTGCAAATGTACTCCAAGTGCGGGGAGCTCGAGCTAGCTCGCGAGGCCTTTGACAGGATTCTGGAATGGAACGACTACTCGTGGACGATTGTAACTTCGGCTTATGTCAAGGCCGGGCATCACAGGCAGGCAGTGGAACTTTACCACAGGATGTGCTTGGAAGGCATGGACCCGGACGAGTTTGTTTTTGCCAGCGTCATGAACGCTTGCTCCGGCAGGAGAGAGCTCCTGGAGCAAGGCAGGATGATCCACCAGCGAATCCTCGCGACTGGTTACGACCGAGATTTAGTTCTCCAAACCGCAGTGCTCAACATGTATGGAAAGTGTGGCTGCTTGGACGAGGCCAGGGAGATGTTTGATCATCTCGGGAAGAAGAGGAACTCGGTGTCATGGAATGCGATGCTCTCGGCCTACAGCCAGTTTGGATGCTACAAAGAAGCGCTCGACTTGTTTAAAAGGATGAACTTGGAAGGGGAGAAGCCCGACTTGGTCAGCTTTGCGACAGTGTTGGCGGTGTGTAGCAGCGCTCGAGAGTTTTGCGAGGGCCGGAAGATCCACTCCATCGTCCGGGGGACGGGGATTCAAGCTGATGTCATCTTGCAAAACACTCTCGTGAGCATGTACGCGAGCTCTGGACGGATCGGCGATGCAAGATCCATCTTCGACGAGATGGAGAACAAGTCCGTGGTCTCGTGGACGGTGATGGTCTCGGCTTACGTCCAACATGAGCTCGACGAGGAAGCTCTAGAACTCTACCTGGAGATGAGCGTCAAGCCGGAGGCCGCCACCGTCTCTACCGTTCTCGCGGCTTGCTCGAGGCTCGAGGCACTGGACGAAGGGCGGGAGATCCATAGCAAGTTTCTCACGGAGAAGAAGACGAGGATCACGAGCCGGGAATCGATTCTTCTCGTGGAGAACGCGCTGGTGAACTTCTACGCAAAGTGTGGCTGCGCCGACGAGGCCGAAGAGATCTTCCACGCCATGGAGTTTCGCGATGTTGTGTCGTGGAACACCATGCTCGCGGGGCTTCTCCAAGCTGGCCGTGGATGGGAGGCTCTAAGTTACTACAGGAAGATGGTCTTGGACGGGACACAGCCAGTAACAGCAACCTTTTGCAGTGTTCTTGGAGCTTGCTCGAGCGTGAGATCTCTCCGCGATGGCCAGGCTCTCCACTCGCGGATCGTCGACACTGGCTTTGGTCCCGTTCCAGCTCTGGAGAACGCGCTGGTAAACTTCTACGCCAAATGCAGAGCAATGGATCAAGCCAGGAGATTGTTCTCCAAGATGGCCAAGAGGGAGCTCGCGACTTGGAACGCGATGATCCTGAGCTTTGCGGAGGAGGAGAGCTCCAAGAACGAGGCCATGCATCTTTACCACGAGATGAATCTCCACGGAGTGGAACCAAACAAGTTCACTCTCACCAGTGTTCTCGGAGCCTGTTCGAGCTTGGATCAAGGCAAAGCTCTCCACCAGCGGATCACTGCGAGTGGAGTCGACTCGGATCCCACCGTCGCAACTTGCCTGCTCACCATGTACGTGACGCTGGGAGACGAGAACTTGGAGCTCGCCAAGAACTTCTTCGACAAACTCCCCGCGAAGGAGGTCTTCTCCTGGACAGTGATGATCGCAGCTTGCATCGAGCGGGGATTCACCGACGAGGCACTGCAACTCTTCCGAAAGATGGACGTTCCTCCGGACAACGTCGTGTTTACTACGGTTCTCGGCGCGTGCTCGAGCCTGGAAGCCACGAAGCTCGTCCAGGCGAAGATGTTATCACCATCGTCGTCTCCGCCGGACGTGGTAGCCTCCACCGAGCTCTTGAACGCTCTCGCAAAGTGTGGAGCTCTGGACGACGCCAGGGCCGTGTTTGATGGCATCCGGGGCAAGAACGTTCTAAGCTGGACGGCGATGATCGTGGGCTACGCACAGCACGCTCGCGGGGATGGAGCTCTGGAGCTGTTTCGAGAGATGGAGCTGGATGGAATCCAAGCGGACGAGATCACGTTTACGAGCATTCTCCACGCTTGTAGCCACCGAGGACTGGTTCGTGTGGGACGAGAGTACTTCCGTTCCATGGTGGAGGATCACGCCATCGCTCCCAGTGCCGAGCACTATAATGTTGTGATGGATATGCTGGCAAGAGCCGGGAGGGTGGGCGAGGCCGAGGAGGTGGCCAAGGTTTTCCCCGCAATCAAGCACGTAGCTTTGATGACGCTGGTGAGTAGCTCCCAGGTTCATGGAGTAGACAGCTCGGTGGTGGCGAGGAAGAGGCTACTCCTTCAGGGCGATGGGTCTTGTGAGAAAGACACAGCCTCGTCGTACATTGCTCTCTCCAATTCATTCAAGAGCTTGTAACATAATTCATTACTAAAATATTACTTATTCATCTACACACAAAGTTATCTTGCACAACCCTCCTGCATTTATAAGCATCTCAAGTTGAAAATCCAGCCTTTGAGAGCCATTCCAACTTTTCAGGAAGGAATCAATCCCATGAAAAAACCATTTTTTGAAAAATAGTTGAAACAGAAAGTGGATTGATAGTACCATAATAGAGATAAATTTGAAGCAGCATATCACTCGTTCTCCACGTGTTCGAATCCTTTATGTACCAATCGACATTCTTATAAACTTCTGTCACTCAGTGGATGTAGAGTTTGCTTAAAAACCACATTAAATCCTTGACACTTGCGACAGTTATATTTAAAAGTTTAAAACCTGGACTGTTTAAAGTAATATTTTTTAATATGATATTTTGAGGTATATAGTGCTAAGAAAAGTTTATATCTTCAAAAGTACTCTTAATAGATAATAAAAATCTCAATCCTTTATAAATAGTATGGCTTTTAATTATTCTATTTGTATTTCTACTTGATATGCAACTTAGATAATTTCCCATAAATCTTTGAGATTATAAATTTCCATATCAGTATCAGTTATGCTTCCTTTATCTCCAAATTCATATGATGCACTCTCAATTTTAAAATGAATTTAAACAAAATTAACATACAAATAGTTGGTAATTTATAGTTATAATATGTTTTTTAATGATAATTTGTTTCTAGAAGTTCAAAATTTTGCACATTATTAATACAGTGTATATATATGTGCTTGTTATGCTTGTATATATTAGTTTGCACCCTCAATTCATCCATTAGTGATATATATAGAATTGTTAAATGTTTATATGATCAAGCTTACAAAGAAATGGTTAACTTGGAATCTAATCCAACCAAGGAAGGATATGATTGGATAAACACTAGAGAGTAGCTAATTTTTAATTTTAATTTAGATATAAGTCTATGCATAGCATGTATTAAATTCAAATTTCATCAGCAGAGCTTTGGGGTTTGATTCTAGTAGTTAATACTCTTTAGTAAATATAGAGAGCTGACAAATGTATAACAACACCATTTAATATTTTTACCCTCTATATGAGATTTTTGGCATTTACACATCAAAATCTTTTATAAAAGTTGTTATGAGATTAGAGTGTATAACCACACCCTAGAAAACCAAATTATAGCATAATATCTAACCATTTATTTATATATAAGAGAGGAGTGAAAGGTAGATCAAGTGCAAAGTCAAGAGCATATATAGATAACAATACTCTTATTGAAGTGATATGACATGGGTGCCAAAAAGCCCCAAAAAAATATTAAATGTATGCTCTAATTTCCAATATAAGTGGTTATTTAGAGCATAATTTTAGATATAGCATACTAGTTTTTGTATAACTAGCCATTATGTGAATAATCAGTAGCATGTTAATCAACACCTAGTATGTCATTACATTCTAGGTTAATGTTATGTGGCTACTAACAATGACTGTGTAGAAATAGTGGAATGGAGAATGAAATTTTAGTGTTCATTATTCTATTAGAACCCCTTCATGCTAAAAGAGAAGAATCATGAAATGAAACAGATAACTTAGAGATTCTTGTGGAGTTTTGCTTTTTAAATTAGAGATTATGTTCAAGTGCATCCTGAAAAAGAGTGTCACAAGATCGTGAAAACTTTAGTGAAATCAAATGGGATGATCAAAGATTAGATGACAAAAACAAGTATGTAAAAGTGTTGAGAGAGTCATAATAAATTATTTGACCCTTGGTAAATTTTCAAATTTGGACGACTTCAAAATTTAAATTATATTAAAATAAATTAACATAGAAAAAAATTAGTAAAAGGTTTATCTATATTTTATATATAGAAAAACCTATTCAACTGTTTAACACACACTACAAGGAATTAAAGGTAGCCGTTGCTTAGAAGGGCTATGCCACGGCAGATTAGAATCTAAGCTCATTGCTTGCACCCCTTGTAGTGGAACTGGCTTGAACTTCAGCAATTTTGCATAGCGTTGGAGTAGAAGTAGCATATACTCATAAACATAGTCCATTGTCAGTTGTTCTTGCAAGAAATTCTGTGCACATCTTCCCAGTGATAAAGCCTGTAAAGAAAAGTTGAATTAAACAATTTCCTTCCACTAATTATGTCCTTACTTTGTGTGGAAAAGTGTTTCCCCATTCTACCGCTTCCTGAATTGATTGACATATTTTGGTTTTCCTTACTGGGATGAAGTGGAGGTATGGGATCAGTGATCTAGAATAAAATTCTAAATACTGAGGATTGATTTGAAGCATTGTTGATCCACAAGACATCACATACTTCAGACTCACGGACCAGCCAATTCCTTCAACATAAACTTTGTACCTGCAAAAAGAATATTAATTCATTCCACTGAAAGATAAAACTCCAGCACTACCTATATGAGCATTGCTTGGATAGATCAGAAGAGCTGAAATTATTTTTAATTTCGTCATCCCAGTTCTAGCAATACCAAGAATTAGAAAAATTGTATGAAACAGATCATAAAAAAATCACCTGATGATACACAAGAATGCTTGTGGAAGAATTGCATTGCACCAGCATTGGCCGAATTTTTCCCATCCAAGTATTTCCTTTCCACTGCGCAATTGGCTCCCTTTGGAGCCACTTAATCTTTTCAGCTCCAGAAAAGATCTTCTCCCTCTCCACAGTCCAGGGAGCAATATTCACCTCTGGCCTAAATGATACTATTAAAAATATAGCTTCTAAAAAGAATAAAAAAATTTACCAGCCCCAGAAAGACCAATCTGGAAAAACAATATCGTAGTGCTCGTCCCGCGTAGTGCAGTAAGAGAAAAGAGGAGGCGGTGGCCAGACCGAATTGCTTGAGTAGTTCTTCCGCAAAACTTGTGGGCGATCTCCACACATAAACATGAGCTCCAAGTCTGGAACTTGTCCCGGGAATTCCTCGAGAAGCATACGAATCCCCCACAGCGTGTACTGTGCCCGGGTCTGGTAGCAATACCTATATCGCTCCATGTATAGCTTGCCATCGACGATCACCACACGAAAGTCCGCCTTGGACTTGGCTTCTTGCAAATCCCCCTGTGAGATCCCTGTGTTCTTCCAGGGAGAGAGGTCGCGCTCGATCCACTTGAAGTAATCCGGGCATTTGCCTTGGGCTTGAGCCGAGAAGTTGCAATTGTGGAGCTCCTCTAACGTGGAATTGACGGAATTGAGCTGAAATTGCTAAGAAACCTCAGTGAGTTAGAAATTCTGGATAGTACTCTCTCTCTCTCTGTCTCTCACTCTCTCACACCTGAGGAACTTCCAAGGGGAGCTTGATGACCAGCAAGAGAATGACGATTCCAAGGCTTGTGACGATGATCTTGTTCTTGAGAGTCATGTTTTGGAGAAGTGAAAAGGCTCTGCCTTTGCGGCCAAACAAGGAGTCGTGAGCTTGTTGTAGTTCTAGAGTGCCTGGTGCTTGGACAGCACTATGGTAGGGACCAGGAGGTTGAAAGAAAAATTTGATCATGTCAATGTCAGGACATTGTCACAAGGTTTATATTTCACAAGAAGATATTCTGGAAACCACCTCCAGAAGTCAACAAGTTTCTTTAAAGTATTAAACTCTCAGAAGTATCAAAGATTTCTTTCAAGGATCTGCGGAAGCAAAGTAATAATCCTTTCATGTTGTTTCTTTGCAAGAAATTATCAGAACCTTGTTTGTAATTACTAATGATTCAAAAAGCGATCAGTGGAGCTTGTTGGGATGAATGATGATATGATGTGATCTGGAATAAAGTTCTTTGCACTTGGAATCATTTAGTCACGACACCGCCAAAAACTTTGTTCCTAAATCTGTACCAAGGATAAGTAAATTCTAGAGTAGCTTTAGAAAAGGGAAGGAAAAAAATGGAAAAAAAAAAAAAACTATACCTCATGGTTGTAAATACTCTCTACCAGAAAGAAAAATGTTAGAACTCATCTTGGACTTTTTGCATAAAGATTCTCGTGACTTGTCCTAGCAAGCTACAAAATGTGTCATGCAAGAAATAACGCGTGATCGGAAAACTTGCCTGTTTTCCTGTCACCCTTTTGTTCAAAAATGAATGACAGAAACACAAAAGAAGGGTCATTAGCGCCCAGCTGGAGGCACGAGACCACAAATTGGTTCTTCTAAGGAGGACCATACCTTATGCCTGGAAACGTCACAGTTTTCATGCCAGTGCTGCTGTCCAGAAATTAACGCAAATAATCATTGAAACAGCGAGAAAGGAAAAGAGACATGACTTACAACAAGCGTTTTGCCTATTTCACCTGGTCTGGGAGACGAGAACTTATTAAGAAGCTGATCTCCCAGACTCGGAACGAAGAACTTGCTTCGCTATGGTGGCTCCTCGACTGGCATCCCCATGATTGTTACACGCCGAGAGCAAACACTTCCAAGCAACTTCATCCAGCTTGCCTCGGCCTCGTAAAGCAACCCCGCCCATCCCAAGGGATCCAGAGCACACCTGCGGTGCTCCGGAACTGGCCGAAGTTAGTAATGTGTGGATATATATCTATGCTCGAACATACTGGAGCATCGAGCTAAGTGTTCCAAGCTTTGCAGTGCAGCCCAACGTGAGAACAAGTCTGGAGGATGCACGTATAGCTTACTTGATCGATCCGCCTCGAGGATTTTCTCTCCGTGGCATCTCATTCTGCTTGGAGCACGCCGCTAGCATCGAAAGCACCGACTCGGATCCCCTCGAAAAACTCCCCTCTTTGGGCATATGCTGTTGTCGTCGTGTTCCAAAACAAAACAGTCCTGTTCTTCATCCTGTGAAAAGCTTCTCTGGGTCCATCTTATACGTGTGCCACCAATGGCAACGATCGCCTTGGAATCGAAACCACAAACGAGGATCCTCTCGTGGGGAGCTTATAGTTTTCAATCCTACTCGAAGCGATCGAATGCTCCTTTGCCAAGAAATCGTGGGAGGCATGATTGATGAGTGCAGTTCTTGGACAGCCAATGCCGAGCCTTGGGGAACGACATCGACTGCTCCTCACACAACGCGAGCCTCGATCCAGGCATCCGCGACCCTGCAATGCACAAGGCATGGCGCGGGTCCGAGACTCTGGGCAGGATTCGGGCACGCTGCTCGGGAATATCATCTTGAAGATGTATGGCAGGTACCGGAGCGCGCCGCTGGCCTTTGATCACATCACCGCCAAGAACGTTTTCAGCTGAACGATGATGATCTCCGCATATGCCCAGAATGGGCATCCTTGGGAGGCTCTCCAGATCTTTCATGGAATGGAGGGGGCTTTCGCCGATGAGTTCGTCTCTGGTGCGTGCTGCAAGGTGGGCGCTCTCGGACAGGGGCGGGCGATACCCCAGCGCATGGATTGCATTGCGATGTGGTGATCCAGAACACTCGTGAGCATGTACGTAAAATCTGGCTCTTTGGGCGAAGCTTGTGAGGTGTTTTCATTCCATGGCTGTGAGAGATGTGATCTCCTGGAACTCAATGCTACCAGCATTTGCCAAGAAAGGGCATTTCGAAAATGGTATAGAGCTGTTTGGGAAGATCGACGTTGAGCCTGGCCTCACCCCCTTTGTAATATTCTGGGATTGTGCTGTTCTTCTTTCGGCCATACTGGTTTTTTTTCTTGCACAGCCGAACTAGACATCCGCAGATCATTTCCCGGTAGCTCGATTCCGACTTGGTTCTCAGAACGCGCGTATGCAAAGAGCACTACAGAAGCTAGAGATGGTTTCAACAGGGCGAGCAGCAGAGATCATGTCATCTGGAATGCTACGATTGCAGCAAATTCCCACGCCAGTGATTTTCTTGAAGCTTTTAAGCTCCTGAGAAGGATGGAACTTGATGGAGTCAGACGTTTTCCACCATTCTCCCCGCTTGTGCGAGCTCCTCTGGCCTCCGGTTTGGGAAGGAGATTCTTTCTCAATCGCTCCAGTGTGGTACAAGCGACCAAGTCGTGCAAACAGCAGCATTTAACATGTATGCAAAAGGTGGCAGCCTTGAAGAAGCTAGAGCTTTGTTTCAGGAGATGGAGACACAGTGTCTTGGAGTGCCATGATTTTTGCCCATGCCCAGTTTGGGCATAGCTGGGAAGCTCTCCAGCTCTACAGAGGGGGAGCCTAGCTGGATAGTGAGGATTTCCCTTTTAAGGGTTTTTCATGTTTAATATTCGAATTTATTTGGAATATGTGATGATAAATATAATGCATATTTTAGAATTTAGTAACATTAAAAGCCCTAAATATGAAATTAATTCAAACTTTGACCATCTTGTGAGCTAGAGGCTATGAATGTTTTCTTGGGTTTTCTAAATATGACTAAATCCCCATTGGCAGATTTGATTTTGTTTTTCCAATGTTTAAGGATGACTCACAGCTTTACACAGCACATTTTTAGTGTTTAGGGTTTCTTTGTTCTAGTTATGGCTTCTTCTTCGCCAGTGGGCTTGGTGAGCCCCACCATTTCCAGAATGGTCCCCTTCCTCTTTGTCATGGCCCCCCCTCTCTGCATGGATTGGATTTGCCACCTTCGAGTTCTTCAATTTCAAAAGGTACTTCTTTATGTGCACCTCTAAATCATTTGTCCAAAGACAGGATGATGTCTTCAAAGACCAAGACGAAAACAGTTCGGTTTTGGTCAGCACCGAACTGAAAAACAAAGCCTTTTTCTCCAAAGACTTCGTCTCCAAAAGCTTTGTCTTCAAAGCCTTTGTCTTCCGATGCCAAAATTTTGTTTCCCAAGATCAAGCAATTCATCTACAAAGCAAGGCTGTCTTGTTGTGTGATAAACACTTTTGGTACTAAATGCGTAGAGTGTGATTATCTTCCAACATATATAATTTTGAGCTCAAACTCTGAGGAAGAGAAAGGACAAGAACGTCCAAGGAAGACAAGGGCAGCTGAAGAATTTATCACATCTTATATCAACTACTATTATGAAGATGATGCGGAAGAAGATGAAGATGAAGAGCTAGTTTAATATATGAGTGGATTATATAGTGTGGGTCAGCTTTATCCAGTTTCATTTATAGTGTGGGTTTGCTTTCATTTAATATAAGTACTTCCTAATGTTTTCTTTATAGTATAGATATTTTTTTAAAAAATTATTACTTTATATTAGTCAAAAGATATACATACATTATTTTAATCAGAGTCCTAATGGATTTTCCTCTACCAATTTAAGGTTGAAAACCTGTTCCTTGTTGTATGTCTTTATCACTTTCTTCCCCTTTGGTTGTAGCATTGAAGTTTCTTTCTCTTCCAACCATCTTTTTTTAATATAGTTTGCAACTTCTTGATCTTGTTCTAATGATAGTATATGATGGCCATTATTGGCAACTGTGGTGCTTCTTGTGCCACTGAAAAAGTTTAAAACAACCCCTTTTTCATGTGTTGTGCAGCATATGAGAAAGCCAAAGGTTGGATTTATCTCTAACCTTCTAACCATGTTGGTGTCGTTGTTGTACAGTGGCTCCATATTTTCCTAAATAAATTCAAAGCCTTCGTCATGGAGGTGGTAGAAGGCTGCTATGGCAAATCTTGGAGATGAGGCCTTTGGTCTTGCCAAAGACATTTTCATCATTGATTTTTGCAATGATTTATGTTAATATCGAGAGAATTTAACCTTTGTTTTGCCAAGTCTGTCGATTATGTAGCCAAATGGAAAGTCACTTAGAATTGTGTATGATTGATGGATTTTCACACATCGCCAGTGACACTCTTTGTAGACCATTGGCAGTCAATCCTCTATATAAAAGATTGCAATTCATCCATTGTCATCCACAATCTTCTTTGCCATAGTTACTAAGTGGTTGATGAGGTCATTCATGCAAACTTCCCAACCCTCTATCTTTCCTTTCTCATTAGAGTAGTTATAAGGTAGCACACATAGTACAAGGTGCACTCTATAATTATGGAGGTTATTCTTCTTTGTAAATTTAATTCCTATCATCTTGAGAACTCCTTCATTGCTTTCTATTTTGTGTTGAGTTTTCTCAATGTCACTATCTTGAGGAGCCCACTAATACCATTCCTCTTTCATGTTAAAATGACAATCTGTATTGGATTGCCTAGTCCTTCCTTTTTCTACTTCTTCTTTGGTGTGGTTTTGTTTAGTAGTAGTATAAAAAGTACTTGTGAACATTCTCAAGGCTTGATGGTGTGTAATCCTCTAAAAGAGACAATTTGGAAATGCCTTTTTTACCTTATTTTATGCAAGCTCCAAAAACTTGGTGATCTAATGTTACCTTTCACACCAAAGACAAAAGTTATTATCATCCTTTGACACTCAATTCTTCTATTGGTTTGGCTGCTCCAAGAGGTCCACCACCCATTAGTCATGTGCCTCTTAAGGGAAATCTACCTTTGCCAAGTGATAGAGTTTTTCTATATGAAATCCTATGTTTCTCAAGTTAAAAGTAGTCACCATCTTTGTTTAGTTCCTCCTAAGGCACGCTTCATCCAATGTGTAA